CCAGTCATTCGTCATGACTCCCATGGTTTAGAAGGAATAGCTGTTGATTGGATTGGACGAAAATTATACTGGTTGGATAGACATTCGAAGAATCTGGATGTAGCGGAACTGGATGGCACGAAACGCAAAACCTTAAAAACTGGTATACCTGATCCGAGAGCACTAGTTGTGCATCCTGGCACAGGATATTTGTACTTTGCGTCGTGGCATCTCCAAGCTTATATTGGAAAGATTGGTATGGATGGATCAAATTTTACGAGAATCTTAACGTGGGAGGATGATATTGCTTGGCCAAACGCATTGACGATCGATTATTTCACTGATAGAGTATACTGGGCTGATGCTCATTTAGATTATATTGCATTTGCTGATTTAGAAGGCCGTCACAGACATATCGTACTCTCCGGAGACAGTGTGCCTCATGTATTTGCGCTGTCATTATTTGATGATTATGTATATTGGACTGATTGGAATTTGAAGGCAATTAGCCGCGCGAATAAGTTCACAGGCAAGGATTTGACCGTTATCAGGAACACAACGCATAGACCGTATGACATTCACATTTACCACAGTTTACGGCAGTTGCCATATACTAATCCATGCGGTACCAACAATGGCGGATGTTCGCATTTATGCTTAATTTCACCACCGCTAGCATCCAGTTATCTTAACATTGACGGATATGGTGACGAAGGAGCCACTGGATATAAATGCGTATGCCCCAATCAGTTCTACTTAGCTAACGACCAAAAGACCTGCATCGCCAACTGCACCCAAGGTCAATGGACCTGTGGTGGCCACGACGAGAAGTGCATTCCGTGGTTCTGGCAGTGTGATGGTGAAAAGACTGCAAAGATGGATCGGACGAACCTGCAACCTGCCCACCTCGACAATGTCGCGCAGGAACATTCCAATGTAAAAACGGTAATTGTACTCCCTCGGCAACGATCTGCGATGGTACCGACGATTGCGGTGATGGCTCTGATGAACAAAATTAAACATGCCCTGCCCCGAGCTTGAATTTAAATGTCGGTCGAACGGCAGGTGTATATTGGACTCATGGAAATGCGATGGTGATGCGGATTGCAAAGATGGCAGCGATGAAGACCCAAGCATATGTCATAAAAGAGCCTGTGATCCCGATACCGAATTCTCTTGCAAAAATGGACGCTGCATTCCAAAGTTGTGGATGTGTGACTTTGACAATGATTGTGGGGACGATTCCGATGAACCTGCTTACATCTGCCGACAAAAGAACTGTACAACAGGATGGCAACGTTGCCCAGGCAGGTCTAACTACAGGTGTATTCCAAAGTGGTTGTTCTGTGACGGTAAAGACGATTGTAGGGATGGTTCTGATGAATTACCACAATACTGTCCCAGTTGCAACTCAGACACGGACTTCAAATGCGCGAATAATCGTTGTGTGCCAAAACAATGGACTTGCGATTTTGCTGATGATTGTGGTGACGGCTCTGATGAAACAGAAGCTTTATGTAAAGGAAGTTACCGCGAATGTTCTGAATCTGAGTTTAGATGTAAAAATGGAAAGTGTATATCAAACCGCTGGCGCTGCGATCATGAAGATGATTGTGGCGATAACACCGATGAAATGGGCTGCAGTGGTTACCAATGCAAGAACGGGACCTTCCAGTGTTCATCAGGACATTGCATTGCCTCTTACTTCCGGTGTGATGGTGACCGCGATTGCCGCGATATGTCTGATGAAATGAATTGTCCTCCAAGATACCCAGGCGGTCGTTATTGTCCGGAATCACGGTTCCAGTGTGATAACCATCTTTGCATCAGTCAAGCAGATCTTTGTGATGGTGCTGATGATTGCGGTGACGGATCCGATGAAGCGCACTCATTGTGTACGGATTTTAATTGCGATACTCTACGGCGATTCCAATGTGCTAACCACCGATGCGTACCCAGGTACCAACTTTGTGATGGTGTTGATAATTGTGGTGATGGCTCAGATGAAAACAACATGACTTTATGCGCCACTAAACACAAACCGTGCAACGGCCAAGTAGAATACCAATGTGCTAATAAGAAATGTATCGATAGAGCGCAGGTATGTGATTTTGCGGATGATTGTGGAGACGGTTCAGACGAACTTGGTTGCCATCATAACAGTGTTTGCTTAGATAGCAACCGAGGTGGTTGCGATCATCAATGCATGAACCTTACTGACGGCGGATATATCTGTGTGTGCCGCTCAGGTTACATAATCTCAAAAGAAAATAGAAAGAAATGCCAAGATGTGGACGAATGCGCTACAGGAACACACCACTGCTCACAAACGTGCAGTAATTTGAACGGCACCTATGGTTGTTCGTGCAAGGCCGGATTCCAGTTAAGTGATGGTCTTTCCGGTGTTTGTAAGGCCGAGGAAAGTGAAGTGACTCTGTTGTTTGCTAATGGCCCTGAGATCCGTGCTTATACTCTCCGTGACCAAGACGAAATTGATGTCATCAGTGAGGAGAAACGCATTGAAGCTTTAGATTACAACCCCGATTCAAGCATAATCTTCTGGGCGGATAGCTATGATAAAACCATCAAGAGGTCGTACATGGTCAACGCATTGAATGGACAGGTCAAAACAGGATTTGCGCAAGATTTGAACATGAAAGGAAATAGTAAGCCTACTGCGGTCGCGATTGATTGGATCGGAGATAATTTATACTGGACTGAGATAGACCGTGCTGGATCCAAACCTAAGGGACGTGTTATGGTTGCCAAGACAGATGGACGTTACCGAAGAGCTGTAGTCAACGTAGGGCTTGAAAGTCCAAGCTCGCTGGTCGTTGATCCACAATTAGGAAGAATGTTCTGGTCGGATTCTGGCTCCGCACCTAAAATTGAAGTGTCCTGGATGGATGGCTCAAAACGAAGACCTTTGATTACGGAGAATATCCGACACCCGACCGGATTGTCTATCGATTACTCTATGGACCATACGTTATACTGGGTTGACACAAAATTGAATACTATTGAAACAATGAAATACGACGGATCTAACCGAAAGACCATCTTGAAGGGAGAGTATTAAAACATCCTATATCGTTGGATGTGTTTGAGTCCAGTCTATATTGGGTCACAAGAGACACTGGCGAATTATTACGTCAAGATAAATTTGGTCGTGGTGTACCTGTTATCATTCAAAGAGACCTGGTGAATCCATCCGGTGTGAAAGTCTATCACAATTTAAGATATAACAAAACAATTTCAAATCCATGCATGGATAACAAATGTTCACATCTTTGTTTGTTGGTACCGAGTGGTCATAGATGTTCTTGCCCAGATACGCCACAAGTGCCAGCGCATCGCGGAAAAGCTGAGATATTATGTGACGCGGCGGCCGAACGCCCAAGACCATTACCCAGAATCTGTGAGTGTCAAAATGGCGGTGTATGCAGGGAAACCGACACCAATAAATTGATGTGCGAATGCCAAGAGGACTTCAGTGGTACTAATTGCGATGTGCATACAGCACATAGCAGATTCAGCGGCGGAGGTAACACAGCCGCCATCATCATTCAATAGTGGTTATCTTGTTAGTTGTTGGTGCTGCTACTGGCGTTTGGTTCTTTATCAGAAAGAGACCATTGTATGTATATTTTAAATCACGAACCATCAAGATTTTACATACTTTTTATTGTTATAGTGGAAAGGGAAGTTTAGGTAGTTTGTCCAGCAGTCAGACCGTGTCATTCCGACAGGGTACCAATGTGGAATTTGGACCTAATACCTTTGGAGGTAGTAATGGAAGTTCGGTAGAGCCGATGGATGTTGCATATACGCTAGATCCAGTCGGCAATAAAAACAGGGACTTCCACAATCCCATGTATGACGCGGTTCAAGGTGGTAACCCAGATTCCACTGGTAATGGTAGTTCAGGTAAAATATGATTAACGAAAAACAGAAATATGTAACTTGCTTATAATTTTCAGCTTTATATGAAGTACCAGTAGATGTGACAAAATCAAAATCCGATACGTTTACGGAACCACCAAGCGCCATCTTGGCGCCGTCGAGCGTCATCCACCGCTCTTCGCCGCAAATTAACATCCGGCATCGCGAGCTGGATCCGGCACATGACACCGGCAAAGATACGCAGAAACTTGTCGAGGAGGACTGCTGATATCGGCTCAAGTACGACCTACCGACGCTGAGCTATTTATACAAGTTTCTACTCACGCATTATGCGAAAAAGTGAACAAAAAAAAAACAAGAAAAACGATGCTCGTTCATCTTTTTTATATAATTAACTAAAATCTAAATCTAAATTTTGTTGTGACCACTCTATTGAAGAATGATTAAGTAATTAAGTAAGTAAGCGAATTCCTAATTATGTTTAAATTTTACGATTACGTATCTGGAGGATATCATATAGACAATTTATATTTTTATGCAAAGATATTTGAGTTTGATACCAAAACAAAGACGCGATTATATCAAGAGAGAAAACTGCGTCTCTTTAAAACTCGCAGCGATTATGATAAATGCAATACTTTGATGCTAACGATGACGTTGATGAAGGGTGCGGATTGAGTAGAAGATGAGAAATTATTTTTATAACGAGTTATTGGTGTGCTTGTGAACATTTACTAAAAAATTGCCAGAGTGTGCAACTTAATATCAGACACCCGGAACAGATATATCAGCTTTTCTTTAACTTACAATGGAAAATAATAACCAAAGTGCCATTTCAAAGAAAGCATGAAGCACGCAGTGAGAAAGCGCGACACGAACGAGAGAATCCAACAGCAATTCTTCCATAATGTAAGATTATGTAAATATAGCGTTATAAATTTAGTGTGTAATATATTAATGAATACAATAATAGCAGGGATGAGCGAACAAAGCTAACAACACAAAAACATTCGGGACAAAAACTCTACTTGTTTGGAGAGACTGCATTACATTCCAATAAACCTAAAACAGTTTTTTAATTCTAATGATATAAATACTTTTTAAATTTTACGCGACTCGTTGGTTGAAAAAGTGGAATAATTTGTTTATTTTGTTTTATATAATATTAGTTGTATCTATGCATATATATTTAATAATTGTTAAATAGTTGGCTCTATATTTTATCAATGTCATATCTTCAAATCGATGTCAATGTCGCAGAGGAGGACCGTCCATGTAAAACGAAAGGGAAAAACAACTACAGCGCGTCTTTTTTGCATAAAATGGCCGCCAAACAGCAAACATGTAAATAAATCTGTTATTATGAGCGATGTGTTACATGTCACGTACAATCATGTGAAACGATCGAGTTTAGTAAATTAATTGTACTTATTGTGTGTATCCGGCCTCATAATAATTGATTGCTGCGCGCGCAACAACACATAATTATAAATTTCGGGGGATCAAAGATGTATGTTTCTTTTCCAGTAAAATATAGTGGTTGTTTTATATGGCGATTTATAAATGTGTTTTGTCACTTATTGCAAATTTCGGTTCATTTTAAATTCTTTACACCCGTAGTATTAAGAATGTGAATGTGAAGATGGAGTATAAATTCAAATAACGCGGCTACAGTTTATTTACGATTAGACGGCGCTGTACTCAGCAATACCAGACCGGGTGCTTATAATTCTATAAATCAAGCCTAGCTGGCGTTAGAATGCACATAATTCAGTGTGAGATTACGCGACGTGGTGCAGCAGGTTTTGTTTTTATCTGTTTTATTTATTTGTTTACGTCCTTGAGACAGTATGCCGTTGGAACTCACACGCTGCAAGAAACTTAAGTGTCTTCCACTCGCGCAGTTGCGAATGACTTTCGCCGTCGCCGAAACATACCTGCGACGAGTAGAAATTGCTAGTATGTGCTCTGGTCGATTACTGTGTACGAGTATATTTATTTCGCGAGTTGTCATGTTCCAAGTTGCCTTGTAATAATAGTGAATGTGTTGTTATAGTGCGCAAAATGTTAGAAAACGTGAAATTATTCTCTCGGATGTCGGATGTCTTGGATTTCAGACTATGTCGGGCGCACATGTTACTCCGTAAGTAAGACATATCATTCAATGTGTATAAATCATGTTTAATAGATGTTTTTACCTAAAGGTACTTGATATGTAGTGTCGTGCAAAATGTTTTACATAGTATTATTTTGTTACAGTACTTGCCGTAGATGTGTCGAAGACGACTGGTAAGTAAACAATTAAATAAAGCTCAGGCAGGCTCGTACCGAAGCATCAAATGTGATGTATTTGTTATTCGAATAACTGCGAATAGGGCGAAAAACTGTGATTAAAAGTGCTAAAAATTGAAATTTTTCAAATTTGACGACTTTTTACAATTGCGAATATCTCGTAAACTAAAAACGATAGAAAGGAACGAATCGCAGAGTCTTAATCTATGGACAATTCTCTATCAAATAAGCTAGTTAAATTGGATATCTAAGAGATGAAATTTTAATTCATAAGAAAAAATGGACAAGGGAGGGTGCTTGATAATTTTTCGACGTTTTTTGATAGTGAATATCTTCTAAACTAAAAGCGCTATAATCCAAATGAATTGCAGATTATGAAAGAGTGGAAAATTCTCTATTAGATTGGAATATAAAATAATTTTTAAAAAATAATAGAAGTAGTGAAAGGAGATATTGCGACAAGTTTTCAGTTATTTGTTTAATGTTTACGTTTGATTTTATTGAATTTGGCTTGTGTACACATACATTCAAGACTTGTTTTCGTTTTTTGCAGTTGCGTGTTATCATATATGTTTGTGTGTGTTGCTCCGCGCAATGTTACCTGAGGCAAACAGTACTCTGCACGCTGCTGACATCAACGGCGATATTAGGTAAATAGTTTTATTCTAGCCGTCGGACGGCTAATTTGGTGATTCGCGCTGTATCGGATCAAATACTTAATGGTATTTAGAGTGAATTAATAGTTTTGTATACTGTTTCCGCCGGTGCATGTGCTAACTTCATTATGGAATATACATATATTCAACTAGATATTCAGCTACACATACTGCGGTGCAAGTGCCTTGCCAAGTAAGTTTCCATATTGTCGAGAAGATGTGGGTTGTCATGTATTGTCTTTCTGCGACGAATTAAACATAATGAACTGTCATTTTCCGCGATATTGTAAACTAAACGCGATAGAAAAGTATGAATTGCAAATTCTTAATCTACGGGAAATTTTTTATTAGATACCATACAAAAATCGAGAAAATAAGACTCGTGTTTATGAATATTTCAGTTGTTATTTTCTCATTGACTAAAAGCGGTAGAACGAAACAAATTGAAAATATTCGAAATTCGAATTCGAAATATTCGGAATCTGCTTCAGTAATTGCTTTTCGAGTTCCGCTGTCAAATACTTTGGTAAGATACATTATCCAAAAATTTGTTGATTTTTTGGAAGTTTAGGAAGATCTCTTCCTGCAATTTTAGATTGTCTTCTAGAATCTAGTTGTTATTCTTTGTATTCCTGTTTATAACATTTTTACTTATTTTATTATTCATGACATCCTGCCTTTATTAGTAATAGTGAATAAACATTGTTTTGAGTTGCGCGCAGCCAACATGCAAAATGAAACAACCTATCTCCAGGGTCGCGTTCACCAAGCATATTGCAAACTGATAGTGACCGCGTGTTGTCGCCGTGTACTGGGCACGCTGCAGTTTTATTTCGAACGCCGGATAAATCGGGCGTGTTCATCACAACTAGTTCTGTTTCGTCCGATCATAAATAGGTATATCGGTTTATATTCCACAAACAATTAACGGCATATATAGGAATCGGGCGTGATCCGGAGTTTTGCTAGTACGATTGCACGCGTTAAATGTGCATCAATCGCAGATTCATCGTTAGTTCATTTGTGCTCGCGTGTGGTTCCGTCGGCCGTCTCTGATTATTTTTCACCTGTGGAATTATACAGAACTCAATTTTGGAATAGAACTTGTTGGTTCTCAATTAGCAAATATAGCCATGTAAGTAAAATTAATCAGGAAATTGTCGTTTCCAACACGGTTTGTGTCACAAGTTTTCTCCAACAAAACAAGATAATCAATCGCGAATCTTTGTTTCCATTACGCGTAACACTAATAAACCGTAGCATTAATTTGCTAAATCTATTTGCATTTCATCAACAATTAACGTGTCTTAGTGTAAATTTATTGCGACCCGTCGACCGTCGGCTAGCATCTCAGCGGGACTATTAAAAAAATATATTACATTTTATTATAAATTGTTTTCTTTGTATAACATCCTGCCCATTTATGTATCCTGGTATTACGTGAAAAATAGATTGTCTCTCTAGTTTTGGTCCTTGTCTTTCTTGAACTTTGGATTTTCTTTCTCTAACAATCTGTGCATTCCTTTTCATTGCGTGAACATAAGCTAAACTTGTAGGTTTTGGTTGTTTCTTAATTGCAAGTTGCAAATATCTGTTTGAGGCACTCTGTATCTTAATTTGCTTGTCATCCATGCATAAATGAGCTGTATTTGTTGTTTTGGAGTGTCTCGTTTCGATCTATGAATTTTCTTTTTAGAACACCCTGTATATCAATTTTCCTTTATGTCACGTGAAAAAATAGCCATATTTGTAGTGTTTAAAAGTTTGCCGTTGACGTATATTCTAAAGTGAAGTTATTTTCTTTTTGTGACACCCTGTATATCAGTTTCCCGAAGCCTCGAGTGAAAAACGAGCAAAATTTGTAGTGTTTAAATGATTTTCTGTTTTAATATTAATTTTTTTATTTGTAACACCCAGTATATTTGTTCCCATTTTCCATCACCTAGAAAATGGACTATTTGCTAATTTCTTTATCCCGGCAGAACTGTACGACGTGGTACTAGCTTATATGTGCGCGGCTATGCAGCTCGTAAGTCCTGTCTCAATATGGCGGCATGTATTCTGTTGACTTGTAAAATCTAAACTTGTATTCTATTAATAAAGAAATAGTAAGATATATTGACTTCTTTGATTTGTGTGTTATACTATCATTTCAGGAACAGGTCTCTGAGAGTTCCCTCTCTCAGGGGATGATCCCCTCTATAAATATTGTTAAGGTAACCTGTATGATTTGTGAACTCCTTCTTTCATTTTCAGTTACAGGTCCAGAACTTGTAGAATATTTTAAGACATCACCTCTCTTGAGGCGACTTAAAACTTAAAATATTTAGACAAGACCTTATAAGGGATTGTCCTTACAAGAAGGTTCCCTCTCTTTAGGGGTGATCCCCACCATAAAATTGTTGATATACTTACAGTAATTTCAGGGGATGAAGCGCAGAACATCAATATATGTAGGTTAGGCCAGGAGCAATGGACACATCAAACAGTGGGCCTCAAGGCGCTCTATGGAGATCGACCTGTGACTGTCTTATAACGACACGTGCCAAAAAATTTAAAAATCAGATCCACTCCTGTTTCTGCTATCTCCTCCTCTTCTCTACTCTGTTTCCTCTTCCTTCTGTCTTCTACTCTTCTTCTCTGCTATTCCTTCTTCTACTTCTCTATTTCTCTGTTCTCCCGTTTCTCGACTTACATTCTTACTTCTCTTATTGCCTTTACTTTGTATTGCAACTTCTCTTATATTTCGTTGCAATTCACTTCATGCAACCAAATTACACCTGTTATTTTTATATTTGAGAAAATGCCTTCTATAACTGGGATCAGACTATCGATCTAGGGTATATAGCATGTACTTTCTGCACACCTGAAACCACGCGGCTTTCTTATCAAATATTAATTCGTTTCTTCTATTTATGTGTTCATATCTTATGATAAAATAAAACAACAACATACATGCTATACCGCACTATACTATGCCGTACTATGGTATACTCTTAGGTTGAACATGACAATGCTAATCCGCAGAAAACGACTAAGAAGGGACACATCTAAACAAGAATGTGAAATTAAATTATCCTTTATTGACTAGATTATTTACAATTATTATAAAGCAATAATATGGTGCCTATGCGTTAAAAGTTAAATAAATGCATTCTGCTGATGGTACTACTCCTTTGTTCTTCTATCCGTAAAGTACTAAAGCGCACAACCACGTTTCCACCAATTTGTAAGTTGAATTGATGATACGCAAGTGGCCCGCTGGTGAACCAGTTACATTATTGCTTATAAAAGCTGCGAAAATTACCAGCCTGCAACGAGAGTACAAGTGCAAATACACACAACTATGAAATATAACTCGCGTTGCCGGAATTTTTCTAAGCAATAGAGATTTTGAGAGTATAGGAGGGCTGAAAGGTGATTTCGCATCTAATAAAAGGTATTGCAGAACTTATGGTAAGACCGCGTTTCTAGCGTGTTATTATAAAAAACTACAATTACCGCACGCAACGAGAATTTACCTGGTACCGTACACCGCTATGTATAACTCATTACAGATTTTCCACAACCAATAAAATTTTTGATATAGGAAGATGATATAAAATTAAATTTCATCAGCGGAAATTATTTAGAACTTATGATAGGACGCGTTCGCGTGTTATTATGAAAAGGCGCAATTACCAGCACCAACGAGTACAAGTGCGTACATACACACAACTATCAATATAACTCGCATTTACGGAATTTTCTAGCAATAAGTTTTAATATAGGAAGATACACAAATTAAATTTCGCATCCACAGGAAAATTATTATTCCAGACTTATTTATGCGGGCAAAATTTCACTTGATATTTATAATAAAAAACTACAATTCTTGGCGCAACGAGTACAAGTGCGTATACACACAACTATCAATGCGAAACTCGCGTTACAGGAGGCTTTATAATAAACTTCGGTAGGGAGATACAGAATTAAATTTCGCATCCCCAAGTAGAATTGACTGGTCCCTATAACAGACCGCGTTCATTTACTAGTAAAAACTACTATTCCTATTCGCTTGCAACGGTGGTGCGTATACACACAACTATTAATATAACTCGCGTTACGGAACTTTCACAGCAGTAAATTTTAATATATATGGAGATACAAAATTAAATTCCGCATCCTAAGAAAATTGTTGAACTTGCCAAGTAAGACCGCGTTCGCGTTGTTCTAATAAAACACAATTCCTAGCGCAACGGAGTACAGAGGTGGCATACACGCAAATATCAATATAACTCGTGATACGGAATTTTCTCGCAATAGTTTTGATACAGAGGAGATACAGAATTAAATTCCGCATATAAAAGAAAATTATTCCGAACATTACAGTAAAACCGCGTTCGCGTGTTATTATAATAAAAACTACTATTCCCTAGCACAACGGTACAGGTGTGTATACACACAACTATCAATATAACTCGCGTTACGGAATTTTCTCGAAATAGAAATTTCGATTCAGGGAGATACACAATTAAATTCCGCATCTAAGAAAATATTCCGACTTTGGTCAGTGCCGGTTTTAGCACTACCAGCGCCCTGGGCAAGAGATTTCTGGCGCTAACTGCAATTTAAATCCATACGAAAAAACCATTAAGTGCGAGTCGGCGCCCTTAAAGTCCATCGCCCCTTGACGGTCGCTCAACCCGCCATGCCCTAACGCCGGTACTGGTTATACATGTTTCGCCACGGGAGCATCTTCAGTAACTGAAGAAGTTGAAAATTTCTAAAAAGCAAACTATCGCACGGCGGCAATTTTGAGGTACACAGTATTGAATTATTACTCGCGCAAATGTTTGTCATAGAATTAGAATGAAAAAATATAATTAAATTTTAAACTTTTACGATTGTTGTATACATCAGTCACCAAAAGAACATCAAGTGCTGTAATTTAAAGAAAGAAGTTGAAAGATTTCATAAGATTGTAATAATATAATCCCATACATTTGGAAAAATACAATATCTCATATTATTGAGTTAAAAGTTACTTACAAGAATAATGATGAAAAAATCTACATGGATGCGATTCACGAATCCGATTTATTTAGCAACTGACACCGAACTTTGTAACTTGCATAAGTATGCACACGAAACCGTATCAAATATCTACCACTTTGATTCAATAATGTACATTAAACGCGGAAATAATAAGTATCATTAGCCTAGTAGCTATAATTAAATAGTCGATTGATAATCAAATATAACGCAAATTTAAAAAAAACAGAAGTCCGAATAAACAATACGAGTCTGGACACGTCTGGACCAACCACCGATCGGCACGAACTGGCTGCAACGATAGCACAAGCCGTAGCCGCGCAAGCAACGGCGCGACAGTTTATGATAAGAAAGTCAGAAATGCGCAAAGTCGACGGCGACCTTGTGCGCGAATTGCATTTGGTACCACACATATATGCGATTTGAACTACACTGCTGCAGGCGGCAAATTGATGTGGCATGAGAATCTGACCACGACGAATAAAAGAAATCTTCTAATTTTACTTGATTCCCTCAAGAACTAAACGCGATAGAACGGAACAGATTAATGATTCTTAAACATTTCTATAAGATAAGCTTCATTATTAAAAACCCTATGAAATCAAAAAAGAATCCAGAAGAAAAAATGGGCTGCGTCATGTGTGTTCGATGATTTTCGATAACGAATATCTATCAGATAAAATTAAAATAATTTAATTTAATGAGGTAAAGGGTTGAAAAACGCGACTGAAAGTGCTAAAAAGTGAGATTTTTCAATTTTTGGCCATTTCCTTAAATCGCGAATATCTCGTAAACTAAAAGAGATAAAAGGAACAAATGCAGATTTTGAATCTACGAAAAATTCTCTATTAGATAGACTAGTTTAAACGGAAATTTAAGAAATGAAATTTTAATTCTTAAAGAAAAAAATATGCCAATATAATGATAATTTTTATCGACGATTTTCGTAATTAGAAGTGACATTTATCAATTTTGCCCATTTTATTCAATCGCGAATATCTCGTAAACTAAAAGAGATAAATAGGATCTGATCGCAGCGTCTTAATCTACGGACTATTCTCTATCAGATAGGATAGTTAAAACGGAAATCTGAGTGATAAAATTTTAATTCTTAAGAAAAAATTACCAGGGGTGCTTGATACTTTTCGACGATTTTCAAAAATTAATATCTCTTAAACTAAAAGAGATAGCTGCCAAAACGAATTGTTGATTATGAAAAGATTGGAAAATTTGTATCAGATAGCAGGAAATACAAGCAATAATTATATTTCCTACAGTAAAGGTCGAAAAAGGCGACTAAAAGTGCTAAAAGTAACATTTATCAATTCTGCCCATTTTATTCAAATCGCGAATATCTCTGTAAACTAAAAAGAGATAATTAAGTTCAATCGCGAATATCTCGTAAACTAAAAGAGATAATTAAGATCTGATCGCAGCGTCTTAATGTACGGACCAATCTCTATCAGATACAATAGTTAAAAGGGAAAACTGAGAAATGAAATTTTCATTCTTAAGAAAAAATTGCCAAGAGCACCCCCGCTTGATACTTTTTTTCGACGATTTTTGAAAATTCATATCTCTGAAACTAAAGGGAATTGCAACCAACCAATTGCTGATTATGAAAGATTGAATGATTCTCTATCTGACCAAAATATAAATTACTTCTATTTCAAGCAGTACAAGGTCGAAAAACGCGACTAAAAGTGCTAAAAAGTGACATTTTTCAAATTTTGACGATTTTTTTCAATCGCGAATATCTCGTAAACTAAAAGAGATAAATAGGATCTGATCGCAGCGTCTTAATCTACGGACTATTTTCTAGAAGATAAACTAGTTAAAACGATAATAAAATAATTATATTTCCTAATAGTAAAGGTTGAAAACGCGACTAAAAGTGCTAAAAGGTGACATTTGGCAAATTTTTGCCCATTTTATTCAATCGCGAATATCCGTAAACCAAAAGAGATAAATAAGATCTGATCGCAGCGTCTTAATCTACGACCAATCTCTATCAGATAGGATAGTTAAACGGAAATCTGAGAGATGAAATTTTAAGTCTTAAGAAAAATTGCCAAGGGTAAGATACTTTTTTCGACGATTTTCAAAATTCATATCTTTAAACTAAAAGAGATAGCTAACAACGAATCTTGTTGATTATGAAAAGATTGAAAATTGTCTATCAGGGATAAAAATATAAAATAATTCATATTTCACAGCAAAAGGTCGAAAACGCGACTAAAAGTAAAGCAAAGAGCAACATTTATCAATTTTGTCAATTATATTCAATCGCGAATATCCGTAAACTAAAAGAGATAATAGGATCTGATCGCAGCGTCTTAATCTACGGACTATTCTCTATCAGATAGGATAGTTAAAACGGAAATCTGAAAGATGAAATTTTAATTTTAAGAAAAAATTGCCAAGGTGCTTGATACTTTTTTCGACGATTTTTGATAATTATCTCTTTAAACTAAAACCGATAGCTACCAACAAATTGTTGATTGGTGAAAAGATTGGAAAATTCTTATCAGATAAAATATAAAATAATTATATTTCCTACAGTAAAAGGTCGAAAAACGCGACTAAAAGTGCTAAAAAGTGACATTTATCAATTTTTGCCAATTATATTCAATCGCGAATATCTCGTAAACTAAAAGAGATAAATAGGATCTGATCGCAGCGTCTTAATGTACGGACTATTCTCTATCAGATAGGATAGTTAAAATGGAAATCTGAAAGATGAAATTTTAATTCTTTAGAAAAAATTGCTAAGGGGGGGTGCTTGATACTTTTTTTCGACGATTTTTGATAATTAATATCTCTTAAACTAAAAGAGATTGCAACCCACGCAATGCTGATTATGAAAGATTGGAAAATTCTCTATCAGATAAAAATATAAAATACTCATATTTCCAATAGTAAAAGGTCAAAAAACGTGACTAAAAGTGCTAAAAAGTGACATTTTTCAATTTTTGCTCATTTTATTCAATCGCGAATATCTCGTAAACTAAAAGAGATAATTAGGATCGGATAGCAGCGTCTTATTCTACGGACTTCTCTCTCTATAAGATAGGATAGTTAAAACGGAAATCTAAGAGATGAAATTTTAATTCATAAGAAAAAATTGGCAAGGTGCGGTGCTTGATAATTTTTTTTTCCTGATTTTCGATAACGAATATCATCACTAGAACAAACGAAAATTAATGCCTCTAAACCCAAAATACTATTTTTGTGGCTTTCGCGTATAAAAAATCACAAAACTAAGTTATGAATATAATAAAGAATTACAACACTTACAATTTGATGCGTTATAAACTGAAAAGTTAACTGTTGTTATAACATGCATGTTCGGTGCATTTCCCATATACCTACAATTAAATTTGAGCTGTGATTTAAATATTTTTCCAACAGAAACTTGGGATTGTGCAAATGTTTATCATAAAGGGCAACATTGGCACTATTTAAGGCAATATATAAAATGAAGCCAAGAATGGAAATGCTGCATAAAACTAAATATACAACGAGTAATGCGTGTCTGTCGGCGATCATAACCAAACTAGTTTTAAAACGTGTGCGCTGTTGTTTACAGTGTACGAAATAATCATAAGCGCCAATTGATGCAAACATTTTAAAATGTACAAAGACATTGATAATTTGATGGCAAAATACGAATTGTTTTCCAATTGCTACTCACGTTTAGGACCATTCCAGGCGGGAGTAGATCCAATGCAAAGAAAACACATTTATAGTACAGGGCAGTGTTACGCGTTGCACTGCACTTGTTAAACGCGACAGACTATTCTCCGTTTCGTCCGCTGAAAACGTCTGGCGGTGAAATGTCGTGTACCCTCCAAACGCCACATCAAACAGCTGACTATTGACTCAACTAACCTTTAAAAATTATTCAACGATTCAAAGATATTCTTTTAATTTACAAAATAATGGATACGTGTAGACCATGTGGATGTAAAGGTTGTCGCACCTGCCTGCTTTGTGAAGAAGAATATGGTATAAAAAAAGATCCAATATTGAATAAGACAAACGGATCTTATGTCTACTGTCCACATTGCAATAAAGCATGGTCTGGTTGGGATTTTAACCTTTATAAACAACATCCAAACCACAGTGGGACATCAATAGACTATCCAGGAGTGTATATTGACTTAAACTTTCTCTCCATAGAAGAAGAACAACTTGCTTTAAGTGAAATTGAAAACATTCCTTGGGACGCATCTCAGAGTGGAAGAAGAAAGCAGAACTTTGGTCCTAAATGCAACTTCAAGAAGAAAAAACTAAAACTGGGTGATTTCAAAGGATTTCCAAAAGGTTTGCAATTCATCCAGGAAAAACTAAAACATGTAGCTTATTTAAAAGACTTCCAAACAATTGAACAATGCAGTTTAGAGTATGATCCAACCAGAGGTGCATCAATTGATCCACACATTGATGACTGTTGGATTTGGGGTGAGAGAATTGTAACAGTTAATTTATTAGCTGATTCTGTCTTGACTATGACTGAAAATTCAAAACCCTCTGGATATAATTTAAATCAAGTTGCAAGTTATCCAAGTGTGATGTTGAAAAGGAGCAGGAGGGTCAACAAAGTGTTTATCAATTAAAAACAGTAGAAAACGCGCCTATTGTTCGAATTCCCATGCCGCGACGTTCACTTTTGGTATTATATGGAGCACCAAGATATGACTGGGAGCATCAAGTTCTCAGGGAGGACATTAGTAACACAAGGATATGTTTAGCATATAGAGAATTTACACCGCCATATTTAAATGGTGGTGAATTTTATGAAGAAGGACTTAAAGTGCTTAATAAAGCAAAAGAATTCTTTTAATTTAAATTTAATAAATCCTAACCTACATAAATCAATGTGAAAAAGTTTTCTTTTATACTTGTAGAGCGGGTCGTTCGTGTTTACCTTCAAGTTTCTCGTTTGTTTGTGAATATCCAGTGCCACCCTATAAGCAAACAATTTGTTATTTATTTAAGTAATGAATGTGTTTTAAACTTACTCTTTGCATCACTATAATATCTTTTTCCGTCAATTTCTGGTCGGTTAGTGGATGAATCCAATCCTTTTTGATTATTTTCTCAATACATTCCATCGTTACGACATCCCCACTGTAAAGTTTAATTATTTGTTTTATTGTGTAATTATAAAGTAATAATGTTCACTTACGTTGGTTTTAAAACAGCGCACGGAACGCTATTGCTTAAAATATCATGCGTTATCGCACACATGTAGCGATTTTCTTTCGCAATCAGTGACTTCTTATCACTGGCATCTTTAACCGGCGTAAATTTAACAGGTATTAAATCTTTAGCTTTCAATGGCTTGCCTGAAATGGGACAAGGGATTTTACTATCTGGTTTCTCCACTTTGGGCTTCTCAGCTTCCTTTAGTTGACCTGGTACCCAATAACTAGGCAGAACCTTGTTCCTTCCATTCTCCATATTTGAAATGGATGCAGAACTAGTGGAAGCCTCACTTTTGAAGCCATCAATTGGTTTACTCACAATGTTGTTCTCAGAGTTCAGAAAATTGTTGATTTTCTTGTCTGTGGCTTCCATAACCTTCTGCTCCAATTCATCATCCTCTTTCTTTTTGAGTCTTTCATATTCCTTTAACTTTCTGCTGTACTCATTCTTCTTTGTGATTATGTATTGAAGGATAACTTCTTTATCAAATAGGTAACCATCTTTACTAATGTTTGTATAAATCATTATATATTGTTTAATGTATATAATGTTAGGATAGAATAGTAACTTACGTGATAACTGCGTTTCTGCATGGTTGTAAAGACAGTGAACAACAATCAAAATCTTTAACTGAATCTTTACCCAATCGCTTCGAGTTTGTACTGTAACCGGAAGCCGCAGCGTCTTTTTTCTTCTCGTGGTAGGTGTAAACCGCACCCGCAGTGCAATTACGTGCATGTCGCGTCATTGTATTAAATTATTAAAAGCCAAGAAAAATTTACGTTTGGAATATCTGCGTTTGTATTTTTGTTTGAGGTTGGGTTAATTATTTGTGTATATTGGGTTGCTTGCATTCTAGGGGCAAGGTTATTGATTGTACAGAAGACATCATTTTTAAAATCTTGTTTTCTTTAACTTAAGTTTAAATATATGCCAAGAACAAAATAGAATTTAGAAAATTATAAACCAGTTGCTACATGTTTATATGAAAATAGGCTAACGTATGACATTTAAAGATTAAATAATACAATACTAAAATGTAGCAGATGAATATCCATTGCGACTCCCCACTTAGAAATCTGCTGCTCGCGCGTTTTGCTTGTCAGTCGGTGTCTACCTGCCCGTTCGTGCTGACGACTTGCGCGGCTTACAGGACTTTAACTCGCAACTCGCAAGCTGCATTTCGTTCGGGTCGAAACAGCGCTGAGACCCGCACAACCTGCATAGCTGCACAGTGCGGCGCGGAAGTGCAACGAGTGCAGCGGCCGCTTGCCGCTAGAATCCTCGTTAGGTTCGCGTTCACCTGGCACGCGAACGCACGAAGCACGAAGGTGAAGGTGGTGTTGACGTTACACTCCGACGGGCAGTGTTTCCCATCATCAACATCGTAATTAAATAGCACAAATGTGCGCGCGATGAACCAGCAACGTCTTCTTCTTCTTCCATCCTCGCCAGGGGACTCATAAATCATCGCAAAGTATCGAATTCGAGGGCAATACAGCCGGAGATGACGTGAAGAGGAAATATCCGCAGCTAGGGAGAGATTTTGCAACGAATTTATGGCAGGTGAATATGAAGTTATTACACTACAATCTCGCCCAAATACGCGAATATACATCATCTTGACGCGCAGATAAGCGTATACACGTTTTTGGCGCAGTGCTCACGTCTACATTTGTTATTAAACAAAACAATGTCGAGAGAATCAAATGAAAACAAAACACACAAATGAATATTAAATATTCAAAAATATGTATTGAGGTGCATGGTTTTTATGGTTTACATAAAACGAACCGCTCCTAGAAATTGCTCGCAATGTCTGCTTGCTCGAAGCGAGATGAGAAAACAGACGCAAGCCGAGAAGAGTAAGTAATATTGCAGCGTGTGGGTCGGGCCATCCCATTTCGGTGAGATGTGTGTGCAATGTGTGGCCACTCGCATGAAATTTTAATCGCGCTTTTCTAAATCAATATGATGTTTGCTCAGAACACAATGTGCACACCGCACGTCGCAAAGTTTGCAGTTTTCAGCTAAAAGGAAAGCAAACAATTGAAATATCCAACATTTGTTACGCACAAAAATGTAAATTTTTCGTGTCAACATAGCGTTAACTAATTGTGAATTATGCACATACTTAAAAATTATCGCCAAGATAAGGCGATTGCGAATAACGCGCGCGATAACGTTTTGTAATTTATTTCGATTGAGTAATACACGTACAAAAGTGCGCGCGCGAATTGCATTTGCGTCAGTGCAAACATCATCAATCATTATCCGGTGGCCATGATGGGAAAATGAGCGCCAACAAGTCCAGCGACAAAAATAAACGTGTGAAAATTAGTTTCCAACGACATAAACAACTCCCACTCTCTTTCGCACACTGTCATCGAATTTATTCCTGTAATAAATAATGAATGACAAATCGCGATATGATAACGCACGCATTATGCTATCTGGTCATTGAAATGACTGTTTTTCTTTGCTATTGCAGATGTTTTCCAAGTAAAAGATGCGCTTCAACAAGCAGGAGCTGGAGGCGCTCGCCACGCAGCCCTCCAGCAAGTTCGAGAAGGAAGGCGCGCTGTGCGTCCGCGAGCGACAGGAGGGCTTCTTTCGGAAGTCGGAAGGTGAGTGGAATATTAATGCGACCGCCGGCCGCAACCGAATGCCCCTGCCGCGCTAGCAAATTGCCCCTCATGTAATAAATATACAACAACCAAAGAAAAACACGCACGGAAAACATACTCAAAACATGAGAAGAACCCACTTGTAACTATTTACGGCGGTTGAGTTTGGGGTTTCGGGTCGAGTTGATTGAAAACCGATTCGTTTTTGTTTACGTGCCCGCAATCAAGCAAAACGAAGTCGATTTCAAGCAACTCACAGGCAACAACAGGCCGTGAACTTGAACCCAGCGATCAATGACACGCTAATCTACGCACTTCACGTGAGTCAAATTGATTTCAAACTATCGAAATCAATTTCTTTCGGTTTTAAACCAGTGTTGGATTAACGCATTGTTGGTTGCCTACGTTACAAAGTCACGGATTGTTGATTCGCCATACAAAACAGTGAACACGAAATTTAAAGAACTCGAATGAAAATAAAAATCAAACGCATGCATAATGCATTTTGCATGATGCGTATCATTGCTATTTGATGTCGTGTAGGGTCGACCCGAGAATGATGCTAATTGCGAAAGCATGCGCGTCGATGACGCCATTCGCCATTGTTATTTTAATGTTTATTATAAACCATGTTGCATGATGCATTGCATTCTATTCCACAATATGTGTGTGGTGTTTTATTCTCATCATTAATTATTTCAATTTTAATTGCCGACAAAGTTCTCAACGAGCAAATCTGCATGACAATCAAAATAACAGTAAAGGGACATTTATTTGTAGCAGTCATTTATTTAAACTAAAGTGGATTGCGTGAGAACTCTGTCGGCATTCAAATAATATGTGTCGTGTACATAATCTTCGATAATTTTGTTAGTTTCAAGTGGTTTTGAGCTGGACGCGGCGGATTTTGCTGGCGTTGAATACAATTAACACACATGTGAATATTATATCGCAGCGTTGCGAGTGATTGTCTCGTCAAATGTGCATTAATCTTGCAGGCAGAGGTAGCAAAAATAAGAAAAAGCGCCTTCGTAATCTCAGCTGTGTGGGGGGAACGAGTAAAGGTACTATGAACTATACATCATACAAAATACGCACAACAAATACTAATCACACACATGCTAACTAAGGAAATAAAAACGAACGCTTCTTAATGTTTCACTACTCACCAAATTAATATTAATACTAATCAACTTTGGATAACACACATCTGGTAATGGGTTTCCGCTTCTTTATATGTAAATGTTTGTCTCTGTATGCAAATGTTGTTGTTGTTATTATGTAGTGATATAGTTGTAGTTATCAGTATTGTTAGTGCGTCAATGTGCAATCGGACTACTCTCACCAATGTGGTGGCGATTTTGCAGTGAGCTTGGAACGCTGGTGTCGCCTGCGTGGCAATCTTCTCTTCTACTTTAAAAGCAAAGACCCTTGGTCGGAACCCATTGGCGTGGTTGTCCTGGAGCAGTGTCAGGTGCGGCTGGAACCACCCATGGCTACAACCCCTTTACCCCTTGAAGGCAACTATCCCTTTTATTTAGGTAATTATATCCTTTTAAATCAATTCCCATAATAATACAAGCGTTTGATTTTAATGTTATGTTTAGTATTTGATGGTGGTTTGTGTCAATCGCTCGCCGCCTCTTCCGAAACCGAACGCATCAGCTGGATGGACGCCATTCGTGCGGCCAGCTATGAAGGCATCCGCGCCGAATTACACACACTTCGGCAATGCATCGAACGCCGTCGCACGCACAAACCCCATGTGGATGTCAACATGTGGCGCTTGCAACGCACGCACTCCATTGATCTTTCGGAGTTACCTTTGTGCGAGGTGTCACTGGCGTGTGATAACTTGCTCTGTGATGCCAATGGCCTAGCTCCCAATCCCACGTTGGTGGTGGACGTGCATATGCCGCAGGGTAAACTATGGGTGCAGTATGCGCGTACCGAAATCATCGAACGCAGCAGCAATCCAGGCTTTTTGTGCACGGTTTGTTTCCGGTCTTCCGATGGCCTCTCCGGCGAGTCAAAGATTCGCTTTACGGCGTTCGATGTTAAAGAGCGAGTGTCACACACGGCGATTCCACTCGGGTCGGCGATTGTGTTGCTTAGTGCCATTCAGGATTCGACCAGACTGCGAATTCCGTTGATGTCCAGTTCCCAGAATACCGTCGGGTTTCTTACCATCAGTGCGTGGTCTTTGGAGGCGGAGGATCGCGGCAGCAGTACGGAACATACGCCATGCAGAGTGCCAATGTTAACCAATCCACAAGTGAGTTCAATTATTTTTTTATTATAAATAAATAAATTAAATTATTATTGTTACTTCGTGTGAAACAATCAAAGTAATTTCACCAAATTATCATAATCGACCAGCGACCACATACAAAAACTCAATTAATAATTTAATAATTGTCCGTTACACGCTCTAATTTTCGGGGGCCGAATCACTTTGACTATTTATCCACTTTGTTCTATTCACGCAATTCTTACTGGTCGCATAATTTCCAACGGACCAACAATTTGTGCAAACCGCTATCCTTCATCTCCTCGAAACTCCTGCCGTGATGCAATAAACTGCCGATTGTAGAAAGATGGCTGCCAATATGATTATTCTCATTTGATTGCTGTGGCCGATGGGGTCTATGGGCATGAGGACGAGGGCGTTGGTGATGTCCATGACCATGTTGTTGTTGTTGGTGTTGATGTTGATGATGCCCGCCGTGTTGTTGATGATTTTGATGCTGATTATGATGTGGACGCACTTCTTCTTCAACGTCCTCGAAAATAACGTCCATGAATCCCATGTAAAATCGCGCATCATCCACCATCCCGGAAAGGAATGGAAGAGTTTGATTGGTGATTCCATTATAATGTGATCGGATCCTTCGCGCTCCTTGTCCAAACCTAACAGGTTTGCTTTATAGTAGAGTATTTGCATGATATAATCCCAGGATGCTTCAATAAGGTCCAGGAATTTATCAACCAATTCTTGTTTCTGTGGAGTATCCTTTAGGAACACGTGTTTTAAATTATCCTTTCTTGCCCAAGACACGTCCTAGTTTAATGTGTAAAAATAATATAATTGATTAAAAAATTGTTTTTGTAATAAAATTTAAAAAACTTACTACCGATGAATATAGTAGCATAATAATTAATAAAATTCGCACTGACATTGTTTTTATTTTTATTTGTATTTTTTTGCACTAGTTACGGTCTAAAACAGTGGATCACTGACGAGCGACGAATCGCGACTGAGCGCTCTTGTTTGAAAACGCGCCTAACTCGAAAAGTGCTCCCGGTACATAATTAGAATCATAATTCCGTGTACGCATTACGTGTCGCCATTGGACTAGCTTCCGACTGACGAACGACTCGTTTATTCACTAATTGTTCTGCGTTTTGATATTTTCTCTTTTTATCTCTCATATCGACGACTCTTTAGTCCGTGCGCTCTTAACACAGATTAGCCCCGCTGTAATAATACGGCCTGCGCTATGTATGTAATTAACCGTTAGATTTAGGCGCTTTTTACGTCTTCTTGCGTAGTGCTCTGGTTTTTGACGCGTGATCCTGATCGCCGAATATTAAATTATCGACCGCGGTCAATAAATGATGCGTTGATGGATAGGCCTTTCACTTTTTTGCTCTTTTCTAGGTGATGTCCCATCGTCGTTCGCAGTCGTTGCCGCCGCGACTGGGCGCCAAGATGCGGCTGCCTAGTCAGGCCGAATTGAAACTCCTCTACGCATCGCCCTTTGTGCAAACATACAGATTTCATTCGGGCCTTGGTGGAGATATCTGCGTGCATGAACTAATGGCCGAAAGCAAGCTATGCTTTGCCTTTCCGCAGCAGTTGTTGTAAGCGATTTGGTTTTTTATGTACATTTAATATCCGGTCTAGAATTTTTGTAGAACGATAATTAAACGCGAATTATGATGTTTATGTAGGAGTGTCTGGATCCATCAAGAGAAGGAGTTGCTGCAAGAAGTGGCCGGTATGGGCGAATTAAGAGAACCGTGGCATTCGAGACAGGTAGAGTTACTTGATCGGCACTTGCATCTATTGCGATTGTATTCGCAAGCACGCGAAAATCTCCAGGCGCATAAAGGGTCGCTATTTAAAGCGAGCTCGCGAAAATCCGACAGGAGTCTTGAGTTTGCTCCGGTCAACCTGCATCTGCAACGCATGTGGGTGCACAATGATACGCTTAACAAGGCCGGGTTCTACGACTGGATCACTGTGGGCGCATTTACTGCACACTCGCACAAATCTAAAAATGGTGGACTCATAAAGTAAGCCAATACATTGGGTAATGCCATTTGGGTAATTGAATGATTTTCTGTGTGTTTAGGCTCGTTCAACAATTAAAAGAATCGCCGATCAAGTCGAATTCGAATGATCAGATTAGTACAAAGATTTCGATGGCGCACGACGCCATTCAGGCCATCAAGCAATTGCGCAAAGATGTTGTTGAAGGAATGCGCCAACTCATGCGGCTCGCACGCGACAAGCAGACCATAGGCATGTTACCGATCTGCGACGATATGGTGAAGAAGACGCGGATACTTTTAGGCCTATGGGATAGCGGATTGGTGGAGGAGGCGTTAGGTTTTATCGAAGAGTACAAGCTAGTATCAACCGATCAAGATTCGGGTGTTTGTGAAGACTTTTCCGTTGAGCGCCCCCTGACACTTTCGCCCTTCAAACGCATCACACAACAATTGACACTTGATCTGAAGAGTCCGGATCTTGATGACTTCGCAACTCCTTGTACGCCAATGGAGAATATGTGGAACATGGAGAAAGTTGACCGGAGTTTGTTGAATACCAGCGAGGGCGTAAGAAGCCTTTGCTCCAATATGCAAACTCCGGACGAGTGCAATTTTGTAATTTTTCCCGATTGCGAGGACCACAACGATAACATCACATCTTCGCTAGTACTGGGAGGATCCGATGACGATAGGAGGAATGATAACGGTAGAACCTTTCTAGATACGCATGTTATGTGTAGTTCACCGTCGGCGAATTACTACAAGCCGACAGATGAGCCAGAACCTTGGGACCTTACCCAGCTGAATATTGAAGCAAGCGTTATGTGTCTGGTGAGCAAGGTGAAGTTTCTCTGCGGGCGATGCGGATCCCCAGCCGTGCGTCTCCGGCAGAATCAAACCAAAAAGGCTGTGATCACTAATCAACCGAATGGTACTGCGGATCCTTCTCAGGACCTTCGGAAGAATGTCATCCGGAATGGTAATAAGTTTACGGATGGTCTTGACCTCACCAAAATCGCTGATTGGGTCGGAGAGTTGCGGCCCAGCATGAAAAAGCTTCGTCAGGCTATGGACGGTTTACTTAAAACTGCACGACTAACGCATTCCGTGTTTCGCGTGCAAGAGGAACCCAAATCTGCGCAGAGGGTTTGTAATGTAAGATATCGACGGGACGTTTGCTTCTCGCAAGCGTTGACTTCCTTAGTAGCGGCGTTAATGACACGCCTATGGTGCCAAAAACCAGACCCCGCGTTTGTCACCTGCTTAAGTACCCTGGGTCCATTGGCCTGCTTCGAAGGGTTGTTGAGTTACCACGGCAACGAGATCGACATGTGGGGCGATATGTCGGTTGCGATTGAAGATCTGCGCACGGTGATGTTTATTCTTGTGCGTTCACCCATCCCGGCAAGCGGTGCCGGCGAACCACAATTGATGCCTAAGGTTACAGGTAATCGCAACGCGCTTACCGTGTCGCTGCCCGTACCTGATTCGCTTTACTCGCTGATACCCAGCCGAATGAGTTTGACCTTCCACGTGACTCCGGTGTTCTTTAATATTGGTATCAACGAACGTGCTACGTGGGCGGAGAGCGTGGGCGCGACGAAACCTCAAGAGCGCTCGAATTGTGACAACTTTGAACGGTTGAACGAGTATTATTTAAGGTACCGGAAGTTAAACATGCCGGAGACGCCATTGTATCATGGTAGGGCGACATCTAGCGCGGCGCATGTGCGACCATTATCTACACTGATGGAGATGCTAAAGATATCGGTGCATAGTGATAAGTCGAAGAACGTGGAGATTTTGCATTTGTCCGCGCAAATATGTCGCCAGATGCGTGGCTTACGCTTCACGAGTTGCAAGAGTGCCAAAGACAGGACGGGAATGGGCGTCACACTGGAACAATGCCACATTCTGGCTGAAGAGTATCACTTGGCAGAGCATGAATTCCAGAGAGCGCTGGATTGCATTCGCAGGTAATTTAGATTTAATCATCTCTTTAATCTTTCGAAAAATGCGATCCATCACCATCAATCTCTCTATTCACGCTTAATTTAAATTTGTTGTCGTGTTTTCAATTTTTTGGGTTATACTGATATTACTGAGTGACCAGGTTAATTTATGACTTTCTAATTTTTTTATTAGTGTTTTGGAACGTTTTAATCAATCAACTTTTTATGGACACGCGTTTTGATTCTAAACGTGTTTATTTTATTTGCTCTACTTTTCACTTTTCGACAGCGGTCGCTCTGGGATTTAAGTTGTTAATTAATTGATGCGCTGTGTTAATTATGCAAATTAAATTCGGTGATGGTCTAATTTACAGTGAAGGCTGTCGCAGGGAGAACACCATGAAGAACATCAACGTGCGAAAGTACGCCTTTAACACGCTGCAACTGTTGTCGTTGCCGCGGTGCTACCGCCCGCCGGCCGGAACGTACGGTTCGGCGGCCACCTAGGAGATTACCTCAGTCAAGTGTGGCATCCGTGTGTGTATGATTGCTATTCGTTTTTACTTAAATTCCAAGGTGCCAATTACGACCTTAGTCAACTATATAACTATTGTTATTCACTTTTCGAAATTTTACTTTGAATATTTATATTTATAGCGTTCTATATTTATTTACACGAAAAACCAAACTCTCTTATTACTAATTATGGTAGATAATGTTTAGGACAATCCATAAACTGAAATAGAGATTACCAAACTACGAATTGTGTTTATTTTCTTATCAAACCAATTTAAATCTTTCGCTTTACGTTTGATCACAAATAGTATAGTGCAAATATAGTTGCCTATGTTAAACTAATCGACCTTTCAAAATAACGCACGTGTGTAGTTTATAACCTCAACAGTTTTCATTCTGTGGCATACAGTGGTTTTAGTTTCGTGTTATTATGCCGGAAAAGCTTTAAAATGATTAAAGACGCTGAATTAAAACTTAAATACGTTGATGGCGAGTCTTTTGTGCATCATGCACCTGTATTTTCTAAGGATTCACAGTAAGCTTTTGTCAATTAAATTATTAACTTATAAATTTACAATAATATTGCTTTAGATTCGTTTTATTGCGAGTTTGCGACGATTGTGTAGTTATACAACGAAAACCGGCAGACGTTTTGTTGACTTTAAGGGAATTGAAGCAGACATTGTAAATTTTGGCTTATACCAACAAGATGCAACTGAATTCATTGCTGTATGCACTGTTGATGGTAACATTACATGCTGGAAAGCATCAAATGGCCTAAAAGTGAAACATATTCATTTGGATATTAATCAAGTGAGGTTTTTTCAACCTTTTGAACATTCTGGAAAATATAGAGCATTTCTGGTGTGGGTAAACAATAATGGACAGCTCAGCACTGGATTATTCCACTTTGATACTTATAAACTGCATCCTATGTCATTAGTTTATAAAAATAGCAAAAACTGTAAATTAGCAATAGGTGCCAATTTCATTGCGTTGATTTCCGGTCGAAAATTATTCATAGATAACATTGAAAACGAAAAGTCGCAGCAGGTTAAGATAAAGATAGCGAAACGAAAATTCACAGCAATTGCGGCGCATCCGAGCGAATCTGCAGTTTTAACAGGTGACGATACAGGTCGCATTGTGCTATGGCAAAACTTATTCGGATATTATACACAAGCGGTGTTCCATTGGCATACGCTACCAGTGAATACGATTTGTTTTTCGTCTTCGGGGACAACATTTTTTAGCGGTGCTGATGAATGCGTGTTGGTAAAATGGACTGTGGACGATTCAACGAGGAAAGGTTTTCTACCACGCATGTCAAATTGCATTCAGCAAGTTGGGATAGCACCTGAGAATTTGTATCTTGCGGTAGCGAGCAAAGACAACGCAATTCATATCGTTGATATGCAATTTAATCCAGTTTCTATTATACAAGAATTGATTCTTGGGGATGAATTTCCTGCTGGAATTCACTGGGATTCGAAAACTCGTGCGTTGGTGTTAAATGGCACTGTTGGTCATTTGCAATTCTATTCGCCGCATAACAAACAACTTTTATATAATGTAAGTTACTGCTTTTTTATTTATTTTATTTGTTATTTTGTTTTTGTTGTGTTGCTTAGTTGGATGTAGTTGGTATGAATAGAATTACCAATGAAAGAGACGTCCAAATTGAAAATACAAACATTAAAGCGCTCGCAATTTCCAAAAATGGCCGGTGGATGGCGACCATTGAGGAACGCAACGACGATGGTGCGTTTTTCGAAGGCAGATTAAAGTTTTGGAATTTTAATGAAGCAAAGCAAAGGTAATTTGTAAAGTAAACCTATTATACTTAACTAAACCTTTAACTTGGCCTAAATAGTTTTCAGTTAAATACAAACGTGGAGTATGCGCATGAAGGCAAAGTTTTGGACTTGAAGTTTCAGCCGTCGAGTAAAGAGGACTATCGTTTGGTTACACTTGGCGAGGATGGGTTTTTCAAAGTTTGGCAACTTGTGGATGTCACAAGTGTTTACAGTAAGTGTGATTCTTTTGTTTTAAACGATTTGTCATCCTAGTTTGATTTAGCTAAAGGATTCTCTTGGCGTTGTGCAAGTTCTGGTTTCTATCGTAACATGATTCCCACAACTATGGCGTTCTCGCATGATGGCTCACTGTTGGCAGTCGCATTTGAGAACATTTTGACAACATGGTTGCCTGAAACAATTGCACTTAAGTGCTCATTGTTGCACTCAACTTATTCCGAACTTATTGAACATATTGCATTCGGCACAAGCACACAATGTCATTTAGTTGTTGCTGCTAGTAAGAAACGTCTCAGTGTGTGGAATTTATTAACGTTGTCGATGATGTGGACAGTGCCTTTGAGAGTGACGCATTTGGTTACGAATCCAATGAGTGCTCACATGGGGGCCATCACGCAGAATAATAAATGTAAGTGTTCTGGTTTAATTAGTGTATTTATATATGCTGGTATAATTTGTATTGTATTATTTTTTATTTGTGATTAGTGTTTATTTTTGAACCTCAATGTGAAACTCCGCTGTACGTACACGAAGAATTAGTTGATGATGGAAAGGCTGTCATGGCGGCCATTTTGGTTCCTACTGGACGCGTGTATAGTCATCGTAAGCAACAAAACTGGTATGATAAGACACAACTCTACATAATAGACACTAATAAGGTAAATGATACGGTTTGTTATAAGTTTTATAACATAAATAAACATATGCAATGATTGCTTCACAGGAATTGCATTGTTTTGATACTTCGTCCGACTTTGACGATGGCATGTTGGAACCTATGCATTTCCTTTTCAACGAGACTGAAACGCAAAGCGCATTCAGTCACCTAACGCCAGCGTTAAAATCTGGTGGGGAGAAGGCTTCACAAGTCGTCCACAATTTCACCCAAAAGTTATCAAATTCCAAGCTGGACGACCTTCTTGAAGGATCTATACACACTATGGTGCCAATGCGAATGATTGCGCACGCAATAATTAATTCAATGATTTATGAGAAGCCTAAACAAACAACTGATTTGGACACAAATGACGACTTAAAACAATTGGGGAACAATCAGTCGGAATTGAAGAAAATTGGTAAAAATATTATCGTTGATGATTTAGCTGAGGATCTGTCTAAAATCGCTTTGGAACCTGTTACTTGGACATCAATGTTGACCTAGAATACATAAGGTAGGCGTTTAGTCGTCTATTAATTTAATAATTACAAGTTAATTACAATAAAAAAAAACACATTTACATTTTGTTTTACAATATGAAATCATATTAGTCGATAGACTATAGAGTCACTTTATGTCCTTTCATCCCACAGAATTAATTACTATTACGTATTAATTTGTTCGATTGAAGAGTACGTTAGTATCGTCCGTTGCGCGAGTGTGAGTTGGAATATTTTCCACTCAGCTTGCTCACAGAATATCGATCCGAGTACCGATCGTCGGCATATTTCTCGCTTGTTTTGTAGTGTACTTCAGAGGGCGGAACAGTCCCAAAGGACTTCTGCCAATGGTGGGTCCAGTATAAATCTTCGGGGTGAATCTCGTCCGGCCGTTTTGCATCCCGGCACACTACCACGCAGTATATTAAACTGCCAATCAACGTGAGAAAACCGAAGATCAAGAAAACAATTCCCAAAAACCTTTTAAACAACAGAAAAATTAATTATTTGCGTTCACTAGTTGTAAGTGTATATAGTGGCGTACCATACGTATGCTGGCTCGAAAAACTGTATTACGATGACGAAGCCAAGTGTCACCAGGATAATGCCTAAATTTAGGAGAAGCATCAGACAGCACATGCCCTTGATGTTGGGACAGAAGGGGTTAGGCGCCGCCATAGTCTCTATCGTCACGCCTGCTTTCCGTGAGTTGCGTGTTTTTGCGGTACTGGCAATCGACGGTGCACGCGCGCTGCGATAAGAATAGTGACTTGGCGCGCCCCTACTTCGGCTAAAAATTTAAATAATTTCATGTTAATTCATTGGTTGTAATTGTTAGGATATTCTCGCACCTGATTTCCGAGGGTGATTTATATGCGCCGCTCGTGACGTAGATATCACTGCCATTGTCGTAACCGGCACTGTGTCTACTTAGTGCTGAAGAAGCCCGCGGCGGTGGATTGCGTGCATTTAAATACCTTCGTTCGTTCACCACCGTGTACGGCTGTAAGGATTCATGTGTAAACAACATAACCTAATGTAAGAGCTGGTAAATAACGTCATACTGTGTATTCTGATAGGGTGCGCTCCGATGGCGCTCGTTGACTTTCCTCGCCGTCGGAGTAGACGCTGCGGGCTACATGAACGGGTGTCGGCGAGTCCGTATGGCGCTGCGTCGCGACGTAGTGATTCTTGTTGATGCGCTTCACCATTGTTGATCGTCACGCAAACGCTGGCAACTGGCCTACCTACTGAAAACACAACGGAACAAAGGTAAGCACATGTGTGCTGCATAGGTACGTAGTAATACAATAAAACAATTGGCTAACAATACGTGTAGCAGATAAAACATTTGAACAATGTTTGATTTGAAAAGAAAAACAATAGCGCTCAGAAAAACGTCACCAAAATTTGAGTGTTTAAAAGATTCTAACAAAGTTCAAACGGAAACGGTACGCATATGTTTTCTAACTGCTTCGACATAATGTCCCCGTCACAACTGTTGAGCACCGAGCGCGTGTAATTATGTAGCGTATTAAAATTAAAGACGACGAACTTAAATTACCAGGCGTGCACACACGCGCAGGTAATTTTAATGTCATCTCTGGCGCAGCGCACAACCGCTGTGCTTCTGTTTCGGTTTGGGTTTGTGTTTACGATGCTTCTCGAGTTGAGTTCTTAAGAAAAGGCGGCTGCATAAACATGAATGTAATTTATTACATGTTGTAGCATGTGCATAACAACGAATATATGACATCATTTTGACGTTTCCATCGCTCTGACACATTGTTGCAGACATTTTAGGTCAACATTTATTTATCGACGACGCCATTTGCAGGCAGACGTATGGTCAGTTGGTGTGCACAGTGTATAGTTAAACAATTGACAATCGTCTTACGAAATGCGGTTCTGCGTGACTGATTTCAACAAAATTTATTCCCAATTTCCTAATGTTGTCATAATTAACTTATGTGGAAATAACTTAAGTTTAATTAGAATAATCCGCGTTCTTTTCTATTGTTTTTCCCTGTTGCAACAATTTGCTAACATTAAGTCTCGAGATGCACACATTGTCATTGGAAGTTGGAAGCCGATGATGATGATGGCGATGTAGCGATGCTCGAGAAGTGAAAGCGTTCCATGGTCTTATATAGCCATGGGAATAAAGAATAAATTTGTGCCTTTGCGCGTTGCCTACATATACATATATGTACAATGGTCGGCGAGACGGAGCGAAAAAAACGAAAGTGGACGTGCGGTGCCCAAATATCAAACAAGTTATGCGGATTTAACTAAAAAATGAACGCCCACAACACATAAGTATGCATTATTTATGTCGTTATGTCATTATCCAACAGCTGCGGTTTTGTATAAATTGTAGGTTGACATCGTCGCCATTTTGAATAGACACTAAGGTATAACAAGTAATGAAGGATGAAGGATCGCCAAACGGAACGATTTCAGGGTCACGTCTCGACTCTTCATGGCGATCGTGAATTATTGCGACGCGATCGCGCGCGCACGAACGCGAATCGCAACGCACGGATGGACAAACGACCGCCGTGGTCGCCGCGTCTCCTCGTCATCGGTGTGTTTCCATCCGGCGGAAAAGAATCTCTAACAAGTCGTGGTGAGTTTTATTTCTTCACTATCAAGATATCTTTGAAAAGATGCCGCGACGTAACGCAGAAAAACACGTACTGTAAATAATTGAATGACTGTTTTGCAACAATTAGTTTTGGAGTTGTTTGTTTGAAGCTGTGCGTGGTAATGTAAAACACACCTCTGCGTTGCGCTTGTTTACTAGCTCAAGGTGAACATTGAGTACTGAATTCAAGTGTTGCTTGTTTGCACCTGTTAAATATTTTCATTCATTTAATATTTTACTCAAAATTTTTGCGCCTTTCATAGTACGAGGTAGTCCTGTTAGCTGTTATATTGATGACTTTTTTTCTGTTTGCCGCGGCGCAAATTTAGTTCGTTTGCTTGTTTTCTATGCCATTGTCTGACAAAGCACAAAAGAAGATACCAAAGATGCCGATCATTTAAGTCTTGCAGACTCTTCTGCGTCGCACAGACTTACCATGATTGCTCGTTTAGAGGAAGCGGGAATGTACACTCACACAACGCACAAGGTTTGCACGGCAAGTTCAGATCGACTCTCACTTTTTAATCCAAAATGTATGAATTTATGTTTGTGATCATTGATTCTTGTTTGATTGCAGGTTTTCTTGGACAACACTTAGGCCATTCTCTGCGAGGATTTATCGGTCGTATTAGGTGATTTTAATGCTGGACACCCACACGGTACTCGAGTACGAATTGTGAAACGCGCGATGCAGATTTCTGAGTAACGCGAGGTGTGCGAGTCGAACATCGAGCGACGACTGGCGTAGGAGCGAACGAGCGAAGGCTGCAGACCTGCAGAGAGTAGTTTTGCATTGAGGTTGCTGCTGAATGAATCCGGCGTTAGAGGAGATGGAGTCCACCGGATCGCAGCTTGCGACTCGTACTCCGCAGGTCGGAATTTTTCAAGCGTCGTGGATTTTTCACATTCTACGAGGCGGCTGCGGAGTGGTGGACACCGTTACGTCACACAAGTAGCAGGCAGGTAAGCGCGTAATGAGCGAGCAGCAGTCGCAAGGTTGATCCACTCGGCTGGTGTTAGAGAAGAAGGCTTCTTCGATTTACTTCTTCAGCTAATGTCGTTCGGGAATATCTTGCGACTGCATTTGCTGCGGTTGGTGCATGAATGTAACTCTATGTTTATATTTGCACTTTGTTTAGATTACTTGATAGAAGTAATACTAGTACTTTCTAAATTGTTAACAAGTTCATAACGTTTTGCTGAATGTATTTTGTTGTGATAATCTGGGAAAACGATTAAAATTTTTATTTTTATTTATTTTTTGTTGTGCAGATGGCATACCAGTTATCATTTGTTGGTCCTGGATAACGATTCCAACTACACTCTTCATATTTTTGGACCCCAAGGAACAGTGTTTATAGGCAGAAGATATACGCAATTCAAAAGGAACTTAAAATGTACTGATAATTAATCAGATGGTTGTTGTGTCCATGCAATGTATATTCATCAAAATTCTGTAATTTTATAACAAATTGCTTGTATGAAAGTTTGTGAAAGAAAACAATAAAACAGTGCTTGTTATTGAATTTATTATATTTTTGATACCCATTTGTCGTTTTCAGAGTTTATTGTAAAAATCAAGTTCTAAAAGTTGAAAACCGAGCCAAATTTTGATTTTATTAATTTCGACTGAAAAACAGTTCCGAAGTTTTGTCTGCAAAGTTTATTTTGTGTTGAAAGACAGGGTCGAACTTGTTTTTTTAAATATTTTTGGTCGAAAGACAGGGTCGAACTTTTTATGAAAAATATTTTCGGTCGAAAGACAGGGTTGAACTTTTTTTAAAAAATATTTTCGGTCGAAAGTCAGGGTCGAACTTTTTTTTAAAAATATTTTCGGTCGAAAGTCAGGGTTGAACTTTTTTTAAAAAATATTTTTGGTCGAAAGACAGGGTCGAACTTTTTTTAAAATTAATTCCTTTTGAAATCAACTAAATAGGAAATATGAATCGACACTATGTTTTTAAAAGCATATCAGCTACATACTTGCAATGTAAATTGATATTTATTGTATTAAGTAGGTATAAGGAATATGTATGCAAATATAAGGGGTGATAATTGTACAAAAAATCAGTCTGATAACAAAATGTTACTAAGATAAAGTATTCAGAAGCACGTTTTTTTGTAGAATCTGCAATAAAAAATGTATTTTTTTAAATTAATTTTTGCCATAAGAAATGATAGACAAAATGAATAATCCAGTTTATTGTACTTATCTTGCAAACTATTTATTCTAAAAGAAATTCGTTTTCAGATTCTTATTCAGTGCATATTTTTACATTATTTAGCATTTTAAAATTTGTTCTTATCTACACTTATGTAAGAAATGAAAATCGTCAATATCTTGAAAACCAATTAAGATACCGCAATGAAAATAAGATTAATGAATTTCTCGCATTATTCTACATCAAGTTGCAAAGTTTCGTGGAAATCGAAAAGGTGGTTCTTTTCAGCCGGTTTTGATTTTCACCAGTTATTTTTGAAATAATGGTGATATCGGAAAACTGACTAGATACTTTTCATCGCATTGCAATTCTTTACCGATTGACGTTTTTCATTTTTTCTAGCTTAAAAATAATTTTGAGGCACAAAGTAGTCAAGTGTAACCTCTTGACTACTTTTGAGAGGTTTTTGGAAACTTCGGAAAATCAAGTAACTAAATCTGCCATCTTGTAGATCCTTATCGTGGCATGAAGAAACTGTAAGAAGTTTGTTTCCATCTTTATTACTTTCAGAGAAAATCGCGTCGGAAAATCAATTTTTCCAACTCAAAAATACAAATTTTAAAGTTTTATCACATGTAGAATAGTTTGCTGAACACAATGCCGTTTTCCGTTTTTGTAGATCTTAATTAGTTCCTGAGATAATCGGTACTTCAGTATTGATGGAAGTAAACGATTCCACTTAAATGCTTCTATAGGGCCAACGGTTAGTGCTAATGACAAAAAGTTTTATTCATAAGTGTATTAAGAGCCTGTCTACACAATAATATTATTAATTTTTTATAATAAAATCACGCAATAAAATGTCAGGCGCCTCCGCCATATTTTAATTAATTATATGCATTATTTAAAAAAATTAAAAAATAAAGTTTTTATTGCACATTATACAAGAGGACAATTATCTCAATGAAATATTTTAGTACAATATTTTAATTAAACGTTTAGTTTAAAAGATATACACATAAAACCATTGAATACAATTTAATCAGTACCGGCATCAATAGGGCCTTAAATAATGGTTGTCGACGAAAAGTTTACTAAAATAAATGATTTCTATTGTTCTGTTTTATTATAATCAGAAAAAACAATTTCAAAATTCAAAAATTTAATTTTTGTTATAAAAACATGAAACCGTGAAAAGATTTCGTCATAAAAAAGGCAAAACTTTTTCATTTTTATCACAAAATAAAATTGGAATTTTATGTTCTGATTTCGGATTCGGGTAGCTTGCTTAATTCTAATTCATTTATTTAAGTACAATTTTTATGTAGCCATTTAGGCCCTATTGACAATTAAAAAAAAAAACTTGACTTCGCACAAAACAAATTCTATTATGCCGATTATTAAAAAAACCGTGCATCTGAGAAGAAAATTTTATTAAAATAAAGAGGTCCAAATGACGTTTTCTTAAATATTCCGCAATAAAAAATTTAAATTTCCAATTTTTATTTTTTGCTTTAGAAATGATGGATGCAACGAATAATTCAGTTTTTCGCACTTAATTTCAAAATTAAAGGAATTAAAGAAAAACGGTTTTCACATTTGAATAGACGATAAAACTTTACATCATATGGCATTTTAATATTTTCAATAATCGACAGTTATGTAATAAATGAAAATGTCCAATAACTTGAAAACTAATTACGTCATCGAAACCAATCCTTCACTAATGGATTCTCTGCATCATTCTACGTTTGACCAGAAAGTTTCGTGAAAATCGGGAAGGTGGTTCAAATAGACCCGTTTCGGTTTTCACAGTTCATTTTGGAAATATTGCTGTTAAGGAAAAACTGACTAGATATCTTTCATCCCCTTGCCATTCTCTATCGATTGGCGTTTTTTATTTTTCTCTAGCTTAAAATTTATTTTTTAGCCCATAAAATAGTCAAGTGTAACCTCTTGACATTTTTCGAGTGGTCTTTGGTCAACTTCACAAAATCAAAAAACTAAATCTGTCATTTAATAGACCTCTGTCGTGACATGAAGAAAGTGCAAAAAGTTTTACTCTAACTTTTATAGTTTCTGAGGAAATTGCATCGGAAAATTGTTTTTCTCTTTCTTAAATGTACAATTTTTAAAATCTTATTATATGTAAAATTGTTTACTTAACGTAATGCTGTTTTTTGTTATTGTTTATCTTTATTAGTTTCTGAGATAATCGCTAAATAAACCTGGCTTAAAGTACATGTTCCACTTAAATGTATTTACTAAATAAACCCTTATTACTATCACGTGAAAAGTTGTGTTAGTAATGTAATTAAACGCCATTCTATCCAATGGTAATATAAGTTTTTAATAATTTTTATAAAGAGTAATTAAAATGTCAGGCGCCTCCGCCATATTTTTATAAATTACGTATGCCTTCCCAAAAATTAAAAAATAATTAAGGTTTTATTACTTATTATGAAGGCAAATGCCTTTATAGATAAATTATTTTAATACTTATTTGTAATTTGGCTAAAGGTTTAAAAGATATAAGTTTAATACATTGTAAATGCATTCAAAATAAATAGTAAAGTTATAACAAATAATGCATTCAAAATAAATAATCCTTTGTTTGTTTGGCCCTGTTTTTCGACACAAAATAATTTTATGAATAAGTTCGGCTCTGTCCTTCATCGGAAAATTGAAACCTCTTGACTGACTTTGAGTGGTTTTTGGAAACTTCGAAAAATTGAAAAACTAAATCAGCCATTTTATAGATCTGGAACACTGGGGTTTTCCATTTTTGTCGCAGATAAACATAATAAAACAGAAGTCTTCTATTATATCAAAAATTTATTATACTGATAAAATACTCGGAAGTACATAATACAATGTTATAAAAAAGTATAAAGTATATAAACTTTTCGTTGATCATAAAACCATGAATAACAATTGAAAACGATGGAAAAAAGACGTAAGAACATTTTTAAAAAGGTAATCAGATGGGGCCCATTGAAGGCGCATTTGGACCATCATCATGTCCACGCACGACTCGACCAGGCATATCGACCTCACCTGCCATATCCCTCACAATATCACTCAACGTCCTCTTAGAATCCTCCATGAAACACATCAGTTCCCTGGACATGAAATACGGTTTCGAGACGCCATCATTCTCAGCCAGATCCTCACAATAGCACAAGAAGATCGTGTCGATCGCGATCTGCATAAAAAAAATGTAATATTATATCAAAACTGATCGAATGATACGTGCAAACTTACATTATAAAGACTGAGGAAAGTATTAGCGGCAAAAAACGCGAAAATACCAGAAACAACCGATACGAAATCGGCACTATCTGGACGTGCAATATTTCTGCATACGATAATAACAATGGCGACGATAATCAACTGCAGCAGACCAAGGACGAACTTGCAAAAACATTTCAGTTGCATTAGTGAAAACGCATGGTTGAGCAGTAGTATCATTCCTTCGCGACAACCGGTGCAAAACGACACGCCGTGAATAGCTGCAACATATAACAAATAATTTAGACTTTACAAAACAGATATTCTAGGTACCCACCAGTCATAATATAAGACATCTTGGTGAAATATTTTATAATTTCCTCAAAGTTTTTTATACACTTATTCAGCATACAGCAGATACAAGCACAGCAGCAGCAACAAACGCGCGCGATTTTGCGTTTCGTAAAGAAATCGGAAATGCTCTTTATGATTTCCATAAGCAGCATCAAAAGTGAACCGAAAGCAACAGTGCCCATGTGATAACGCAACATATTGCTGGTTGTCCTCCACATCGGCGATCCCAAGTCCGATTTATCTCTGAAAGATATTATTTCATTGTTATAACAACGGTAACAAGTATGTTAACACTAAATGAGATTACCTTCGATAATACCATGTAGCAACGGTTCCACCAATGACCATACTCTGGCATCCTTTGAAGAAATATGTGAGCCAAATACCACCCCAGCTCAGAAATATGTACGTGCAGATCACAATATCGTCAGGATTGAAATACCCGTTTTCCTTAATACCAGCTTTAAAAACAACTGTTGAAAGGGAGCTAAACCCAATGGCCGATACCAGAAATGCGACAAACGACTAAAATATGAAATAATTACTAAAATGTTCACCTAAACACAATAACTCACAATTGCCGGTTGAATAAACAGTTGCGGCATATCGCCAATCGCTTTACTGGCCTCTTTGAAGACCTGAATAATCATTTGAATGCGTTTTCGCGTTGCATAGATCAAAAAAACAATGACGAACGTCACCACGGTGGCGGCTAGCGGAAGCAGAATTACTCCGTGCGAATCATTTTTCACTTGAAAAAAAACAGCCCTGCATAACAAAAAAAAAAGAAATCAGAGTGTATACTATTCCGGATGTAAAATTGATTACCATGCTACGATGGTGAGCCCAAGTGCCGTTAATGATCCAAGAACAAGCATGGTCCAAATGAAAACGCCAATAAAGTAACGCAGAAGCAATATTGTCACCATTATAATTGCGAGTATGAACGCCACCATGTACAACATATCTGTACTACCCAATTGCAGGTGTTGGTGCATTACATCATCCCAAATCGAATCTGGATCGTTATTAAAATGGCCATATTCGAAATTATCGCGATGGCCACTAGCAGGGCCGTTAACACCGCAGTAGATCAGCATGCCCGCCTGATTGAGACATTCGTTAAGCAGTTACGCATTTTCAACCGTTTGATCTGACTTACCAGTAGCACATAACAGAACGCCATCACATAGATGAAATTCTCATTTGTTTTACGCCGATGGCGCGTAGGGCGATCAATCTCGCCATCAGTCTCATCAATAAGCTTGGAGCGAACGGAAACATATGCCTTTTGAACGATAAAACGTATCAACAGTTAGAAAAAGACACTTAAGTCAATAATAATAAAAGATAAGTGTTGTTTACCTCATCGGGCAATCCGGCGCTAGCAAAACAATTCATCGTGCCGGTGTATTCTTCTCGCTCGGTGCGATGTGATTTCTTAAAATAAACTATTCAAAAATAGGGGTATGCGCGTACGATTTCTATAATAAAATACACCGCAATGAACTAAACGAATGGCGACCAACCACACACTGCAAAGAAAAACAAACACTCCCGACGCCTGCCTGCCGAGAAGTACGGGAGAAGACTGAACGCCGTCTAAATGTGCTGAGCGCAGCGCTCACTTCAGTGGATATAATCGCCTTTGAATTTGAGATGTTTGCAAACTTATGCATGTGTTGTTTCAGACCTTAAAACTTCCTTACGGCCCCACCCGTGTATCTCAGTTCTCTCTCCACGCTAAAATCCTAGATTGTTCACGCCGGCTCGTTTTATTGCATATTTGCAATAAACTATTTTACTCCACGGCGACGAAATTTTATAGCTCAACGATTGTTAAGCAAACGTCGAACATGAAAGAGGCACGCCGGGTATTCCCCTCCCGAAGCTACTGAATTTCGTTTCATTTATGTATGTATTATTGCTTGGGTGTTATTTTTCTCGTAATCACTTAATATATTAATTTCCATTTTTGAATACCGGCTTGTGTCGCAAATTATTAATTTTCGATAATAATTTATCATTTTAGTCTGTTTCCTCTTATGAATGATAACGCCGAAACGGGTTGGACGAACCATTTTTTATTTTTCATGGTTCATTTACACAATGACAAAAGTTACAATTACATATTGAAGGTTGCACTATGCGGATGCTTTTTGATAAGATTACTTTACTGTATACACTTAGTTAGCAGTTCACCAACCATTGAATCTTCACATTTAGGCTGGATGTGCGGGGGTTGTGGAATTCCATGCATCCCTGGGTTCTTCCGTTTTCGGTTGTGTCTTGTTCGCTTCCAATTGCTCCAGTGCCTTTTTGGAATTTTCCACGAAAATCATTAACTCAGCGGACATGTAGTACGGGCGTGAAAGACCGTCATTGATCTCACAATCCTCGCAGAAGCAAAGGAAAATTGTGTCAAGCGTAGTCTACGTCAAAAATAAGCCGTCACAATCTATTCATTCAAAACAAATATTATACTCACATCGTATACGCTAAGTACACAGTACGCCATGAAGAAGGCGATAAGTGTCGACACAACCAGCGGACCCCAGACAGAATGCAAACCTGGCTTATCCATCATGTAGTACCCAATCAACATTGTCGTTAGCATGATAGTGAGATTGATAAAAAACAAAATAAAAGAACCGACAGAGTTGAGCGCTATTGTTGCTAGCCCATTGTCGACAATCAGACGCATGGCGTTTTTGCCTCCCTTGCAGAAAGGTACACCGTGCATCGCTAGATTAACACGCATTTATAATTATAATCATTCATAATATTACTCTGAGGATATCAACTTACATGTCACAATAAACGCCAGTTTACTGAAGTAGCGCACAAACTCTTCCAGAATGTTAAAAATGCAACTACAGCAAATAAGACAAAGACCGCATCCATTTTGCGCGCGGCGCGTTTTAATGATTCAATGAGCATGCGAATCAATTGCATGATCAGCATAATAAATGAGCCAAAAGCAACCGTACCAAGATGATAGCGCAACAGGTTGTGTGTGGCGTACAAAATTGGCGACGCTAAGCGTGACTTATCCCTGGAACCACAACACCACAATTATAGCATCTTCAAAATGTAATTAACTGGCGCGTTGCATACCTGATAAAATACCACGAAGAAATGGTACCACCAACGATCATATTCTGGCACCCAACGAAAAAGTATAGCATCCAAATCCAACCGACTGTAAAGATGACGCCGGTGAAGATGACCGCTTTGTTCGGCACGTATTCGTACAAGCCTTCATGAATCATCTGCAGGTTGCCGGCGCTACCAATCAAAATCCCACCGTAGACAATTACGACGAAACTGATAAAAAACGCAGCGATTGTCTACGAAAATTAAAGTAACATGCTGGAAGATGCGAAAATGCCAATAGCAAACTTACAGCTACAGGCTCAAGAAGAATATGCGGAATGGCACCGATGGCCTTGCTCGCTTCCTTGAACAGCGATACCACCAATTTGATACGCTTGAACATGACCAGTAGACACAAGAGCAGAATAACTGTCAAAACAGTGAAGAATATTCCCAAACTCATCAACATATCCCTTTCCTCTCGTTTTGTTGCCGTCGACCTGAGGACCCTGTAAATAAGGTGTGAAATGGCGTGGCATTATTTCCAAAACAAGCGTATCTACCATATCGCGACGCAGCCCAATGTCATGGCTACCGCCCCACCAACGAGGATCGACCAAATGAATGGCTCCGTGTTATATCTCATCAGCATCACGGTCAAACACACCAGAGCTGGTAATACGTTTTAAATTAGAAAAACATAAACAAAACAACTCTCAATGCTCACCGAAAGAAATGAGTGCCATGTAAAAAATTTCCAATTTGGATGCATTGATATCTTCCGTCAGGTTTTGCCAAAATGGTTTCTGATTTGCAAAAAAAAAAAACGTAAATTATGTTTGTTTAAATTAAATTAAATTAAATAAACTTACAGCCTTAGCAACATCACCACCAGCTCTGGGAACGCATCTACCAAAAATTGTGTCGCTGCGAAAACAAAGTGAGTAAAATTTGGGTTAAACAAGTCCAATTATTGCGAGTAATAAATTATCGACATGTGTCGTGTTTTTCGAGACACGTAATGGCATTACATTTTATTTTTATATTGTTAAACCGGCGTAACTTGTCATCGATTAATAGATTGTTACCGAGGGCAGTAGTACATGCTGTTGTTACATGCAAGAAAACAAATGAAAGTCTATAAAAAAAAAAACAATTGAATGCGTCTATCGTGAATACAACATATCGGTGATACATAAAATAAAAACACAACACGCATAAATGTTCGTTCTGGAAACGCAAACATTTATTTGTCACACATGCTGATTAATTATTCATCTGTTTTGTTTGTTTTGACGTCAATTAAAAAAGGGCGTAAATTCAAAATGACTGCCAGCACATCAGTTTAACATGCCATAACTATGTATATATTTTAAAATGACGCATTCAATAATTGTTTACCAATAATGCACTAAGGCTTGCCCTCACATTTCATTAATCTAAAAGCTTCCGATTACTGTACCCAGGCATAAACATGCAACAATTATTGTTTAAAAAACATTTAATCAACTTACTATCCATATTGTTCGCAGTTCGTAACGCAAATCCGTTCATTGCTTCTTTCCAGCATAAATCTAAAAAACAAGACCGCATTTGATTAAAATCATCGCAATGCATCACGTTAGGATAATAAGCAGGCGTTCTGTGTGTCTATATTTATGCTATGCACATCAGCACATGTTTACATTGCCAATGGCGGCCGCTATCGCCAATGTGTAATTATTTACATTTGAAACGAGTGCGTTTGATCTGCGCATCGGGTTTAACCGAAGTGCGGCTGCGAGGGGTGTTGTCGATTCTATACTTACGGCTTGGAAGTCATGTCCAGACCAACACAGCCAACATCATTCCCATCTCGCTTGTTTTGCTCGCCGCAAACATTTCCACAATTGTCGTACCCGGTGAGGATGCGATTGACGTCACCAATGCTAGCACAATAAATCAGAAAAGCACACTAAATTAAACATTAATATAGGTACGTGTTGCGTGCAACTGAAAAACGTACCGTGATCGCTAAAAATGTCCCGAAAAAGTACAAGAAAAATATATCCGTGCACTTGCGCTTCCTTTGAGGCCTCCCATCCTCGTCGCGGTCCCCAAACTGCACAAAATCGCCAGTTGACTAAAATATACATACATTTATAGAACACGCACGCAACGGAAGCGAAAGCCACACACACACAAGTATTCTGTACAGTATTTTGCAGTAAAAGTAACGAAAAAACAAAATATAATATGAATACAAAAGAACAATGTGTTTGCAGCAATTGGCAACATAGCGGCATTCCTATATGTACCTCCGAATCGGGGTCCACCTGCGACAAACACGTTCCCATCGCACTAAACACTAGTCAGTTACAAAACAAAACAAAACACAAATTCACAATCCAATATATTCGCAGCGACTGCGGCTAAAATCCGATTCGGTAACAATATATTATTCGTCAGCTTGTTGGAAACCGGGACGGATGTGGGGCAGCTGCACCGTGAACTCGGCAGATCCGAACCGAACTACGGGAATCATGGAATGACCGCAACTGCCGGTTTATTTTGTGTCGGTGGAGATCAACACGATGCGCACGGCGGTATTCCCCACAACCTTCAACACGTTGACCCACCAATAGAATACTTCTACTCCTTCTTTTTCTGATTAACTTAATTGGTAACTGGTAACAGCGTTATTACTTTTTGTTGTAGTTACGCTTATTCTGCCAGAAATACTGACGCCTAAGCCGGCGCTGGTAATGGAACAAACAAATATAAATTCCGTTTTTGGTATTTTCTCTTTCTACTGATTCATGAAAATACATTTATAAATATATTTGCAATATGTAGATTTATTAAATCGCAACTAATACTTTCAGTTAGTTCAGTTACCAGAACGCAAAAGTTTCAAGTTTCAAGGTGTTATCGAAATGACATAAATCTGCGAACAGAAAACTTTTCCAAGCACAGCTCTAGTTTCTAAACAATAATAAACTGGTCGATGTTTTTATTATTTTTTGCTGCGACTGTATTATTTCACAGAACTTGAGACGTGTTATTCAAACAAATATGCGACTTGGCCTTGACCGTATGTGAGCTTCCTTTTGTCCAATATAATTTTAAACTCAAAAGTATCAGCCGAATAAATAGCATTAAATCAATTTGATAAATGATTGTGATATCTAATGTATTTCCCAAATAATATAAGTTTGGTGCAATATTTAATGTTAATATTTAACCACAACGTCACATACGCTGTCTGCAATAAAAAAGAGTTTGGCATCCGGTGAGGTCATACTTTATATGTTAGTATCAGGTTCAGGGTTACATAAACGCCGACTCGCCTTTGCCGAAACACTCAAGTTTATGGTGTAATCTTCTGTGTTGATACTATATTAATAAATAACATTAAATCAATGTTACCTCAGCGTTTGATTAATAATAGTGATATGTAATGTCTGATATGAGTCTGGTGCAATACTTTAAATTGCATATACGTGTAATTGCGATTGAAACAAAATATTTCGATCTGGAACTTGAATTCAGGATGTCGATTAATGCCTCTCCCAACATAATTTCTTATTTTAGTTATGTGAAAAGCGAAATTAAAGCGCAATTTCAATTTATTTTCGTAACTCTTTCTATGTATGTGTGTGGCAGACCGGTTTTTGTTTGATTTACATATTAAATATTTGATTTCACGATTGATTTTATTTTTGGAATTAACAAAGAGGCGTTTGCACATCTCGAATGGTTATCCTGGAAAGTTTTATAATTAATTATAATGTGTTATTGTTTAGTTTCCTATTGTATATTGTACATGTTAATTAAATGAGTCAAATTAAACAAACGCGAATCGAGTGATATGCATAAATGTAGATAGTGTAATCGGTTTAATTTAAAAAGTTTGATCCTTTACGCACTTTCATATTAAATGTGTAATCTATCGCCATCTAGTGGCGATAATGGAGAGAATCTATGGTTTCTCATGAATTACAGTTTTAGGGCTCGCCTCAAAACATAACCAATATTTACAATCACAAGCCAATGATCAAGAGAAGACATTTATTTGCATTTTATTAGCTTTTGTTGAGTTTCCTGCGTTGTGGCATATACTAACCGGCACGAATGCCTTTACCTTCATTGAATAAACCAAATTCAGTACTTAAATCACCACAATTGATTAAAAAACAAGTATTCCCATTTTATCAATTGTATTTATAAACAATTATAAAGTGCGATTGTTACCATGGCAACCTTAGAAGATAAAATCCTCGGCGAGAAACAGCATAATTACTGTAGCAGTAGCGAAGAAAGCGCGGATGATAACAGTGACGATGAAGGCTCTGACCGGAAACCGTCCGGCAATAGCCAAGAAGCTCCTTCAGAACTTCCAGAACCAAACAAATGGGAGGGCACATCAACAAACACAGGCCCCAAGGGTGTAATCAAAGACTGGCAGCGATTCAAGCAGCTGGAGACCGAGAAACGCGTTGATGATGAGCGTGAACGCGCCGAATTATACAAAAAACTAAGCATGACAGTGCGCTCCGCTTTGGACGAAGAACGCGAAGCTGCAAGTCTAGAAGATGCTGACCTGGCAGAACTGCTCAATGATGAATTTCTACTTGAATATCAAAAACAACGTATGCATGAGATGCTTCAACAAAATGACCATCACAAAACATTTGGAAAACTCGTCTATTTAAACAGTGGGCCAGAATATCTGGATTCTATTGATCAAGAAGACAAGAAAGTTAAGATAATAGTCCACATCTATGAGGAGAGGGTGGCTGCTTGCAAGGCAATGAATGAGGCCCTGCAGGATCTAAGCAAAATCTATGATAAAGTGAAGTTTTGCGCCATCGATGTAACTCGCGCAGGTATGAGCCGCGACTTTAAAATCAACGGGGTGCCAGCACTTTTGATCTATAAAGCTGGACAAGTAATCGGGAATTTTGTCCGGTTATCGGATGACTTGGGGAATGAATTTGATGCAGAAGATGTGCAAGCATATCTAATTGAGCATGGAATGCTGGAAGACAAGAGTCTAAAACCGCTAATTGTGCGGAATGCTGTCGATGAAGACAGTGATTGAAATACTTCTTCAGGGCAAATTTTTTTGGACCAAAGACTTTTGTATTTAAATCTAATCTTAAACTTAAGATGCAATAATGTTCTTAATCTTTTTTAACTTACCATGTCTACTGTGTTCATCATGGCTTGAGTGTATCTTCAATATGTAATAAATATTTAATATAAAATTTCGAAAACGTCAAATTTGTATTGGAGACATTACTCACTTGATTTGTGTACATATTTTACCTAGTTTTGTTTCTGCTTAAAGTCAAATGTCGAAATTAAAGACATGGAATCACCCATTCGGGGTGCAAGTGCAGCGTTTCCACCAACTGGGCCTCCATCCGGGTCTATATCGCACAGCCCCGAATGACCGTACTCCATGTGATTACGACCCCATTCAGCCGAGGTGCATCCGTAAGCCAAATGTGAACAACTGGCAGCCATGGCAGATTGAACATGAGTCGCAAGAGTTCTCGAAGAACTTCGGGTACGAGCATGCAGATCTACTCGCCGAGCGCAAATTCATGCGCGGACAACTTGGCCCAGGCTCACATGATATCAATTTAGGCTTGTATAAGCAAGCAGATGTCTCACCTTGCTTGAATCAGAACCTTGGCAAGCAAAAACGCTTCCAATCGAAAGAGATTCTTTCACCTGGTCCCGGTAGATTAGCTAAAGCTTATTTAATCATAGTATTGTTAAACTTTCTGCTTTCAGCCGGGCGATACTTCTCAAAACCATACACGCATAAAGTACCGCATGTGGGTAACACTCTAAATCGTAGCCCACGCTTCAAAGAACTATCCAAGTCGTGGAAGTTGCCTTGTAATCGCTACACAGTAATACATCCGAATTCATTGGAAGCGCTGCTGAACAAAGTCACATCTGTACGTGGACCGTATGATATTTTCACTGGGCCGAGAGATAATGCCAATATGTTTAACAAGATGTCGACTGGTACGCGATGTTCGCCGGATAAGTACTACAATTGGCCCAGTGCGTTGGACGTTTACTTACGCCATCCAAAACAAAATGTAAATGATTTAATCCCCTATCTCGTGCAAATAATTCCTCTAATAAACATAATTTCTTTCAGGAAAGGAAAATTTAACAAAGCAACTCGGTTTCAAACACATCCAACTTGTCGTCACTTACTAGACGATATTTCCACATGCTACAAAAATCCAAACTGGCCTGGTCCAGCACAGTATGTTATTCCTTCAGGTATAACCGCTTCTAAAGAACAAAAGTACATGTTTGGAATAACCGGCTTGGAAGTCCGACCAGCCCTAAAATGGAAGATATCGCCAGGACCAGGAAGATATCACATTAAATATTCGCAATCATGCTCACAATCAAAGAAGAAGAACTTGACGAGTGTTTTCATGTCAAAGACTAAGCGCACCGAGTATAAAGCGCCGATTTATAACGCCTTCTAACAAATAAAACCAACTATATATCTATTACTATTAATTTTTTAATTTACTTTACAATTCAGGCGGAACATAGCCTTCATCAATCTTCCTCGGCTTCCTCTTCTTGCCGAACCACCGCTTCGGGTGGTAAACCCTTTTGTTTTCGATGGACAGCTCAATTTGTTCCTCGTTTTCAAAGAACCACAATTTTTCCTCGCGCGCTTTCAGATCCTCTTGCGTCTTTTTAATGTTTTCGATACGACGCGCTGTTTCCAGTCGTAAGATCTGTTTCTCCAAGTTGCTCTGGCGAATTTGTTCCCATTCATTGAATAGCTTCACTTGTTGTGTTATATCTTCTGATGCCACCTTCTGTTCAGCTTGGACTACAGCTTCTTCTAATTGTTTTTCAATATTTTCAATGGACTCCAACTCTGTTTTTACATCAACCTCATTCTCCAGTAGCTTTCTTCCAATTGTATGCAGTGATTTGTGTAGATCTGACTGTTGTGAGTTTCTAGTGAACTCCATCAAAGTTTTGCCAACTATTTTTGGGCCATCTCGAAGATCAAAATGGCCATCATCATATGGATTTCTGAGAAATTTTACCCTGATCTTCACTTCCTCCTCAGGTTCTTCAGGTTTTACAACTTCAGGCCAACCTTGTGGATCACACAAATATTTATAACAATGCAGCAGAGCTAATGCTTTAGTTATTGGATGATCTACTTCTTCTTGAAGTATCATTTGACTGGCTACTCTACACCCTGCTGTGTAATCTTTCTGCTTGTAGAAATGGTCCATAAGTAGGTTGGCTGTATAGTAATCCAAGAAAATACCATAGTTAAGCCTATCATCCAACACATTCAACAAATCTGATGTTTTATTTTGTGTAAGAAGATATCTAATGACTGCATGTCCAGTGGAGTTTAGGGTGTTGCTTGTTTCCGAGCTCATTCTCAATTTATGGATTAGATCCAGCAGCTCATCAACATAAATGTCATCTTGTACTTTGTTGGCAAAGATATCTACATCTACCGCACTAATAACTCCTGATTTCTGATAGCGTTGATCCAATTCATAGTAAAGATCATCGAGGTTTACTTTGCTTAAGATTTGAGAAGAACTTCTTTGGTTCCAAGCATCACTGCAGTTGTACGCCTGGGAGAGGAAAGTACGACGACATTGATTCGTAAGATGTGCTGGCCGAATTGTTTGAAGCACTCTAAGCAGTTTATTCATTGTAATTTAACTTTTCTCTGCTTAGATTTTAATTTCCCTTTTTAACCTCAACACAAAACAAACGTGCGCCGGACCTTATGCGTACAACTGGTTGTATAAATTCAAATTCTAATAAAAAGGTACTTTTCTATATTACATATTTCATTTCTTGTTTTTGCCTGATAAAATAAGAAAATTATTGCAACATTACATATTATTATTCCTCAAGTGTATGTTCACTAGGAACACACTCATTGTTAATCTCTTTGATCTTCTCTTCACTGTTTTCTTCAACTTTAATTTCTGCCTTTGGCAAACTAATTACCTTCCCCGGCAATAAATCAACAATTTTCGCAACAATGACTTCGCGATTTAAATACCCAATACCACTATCTTGCAACTTCTGCACACTTATTCCAAGGTGCTGAGCAACACAACTTGGGGGATAAATAATATGCAGAGCTTTCTGGATGAACGGAACTAAATCATCCGCAAAACACATGCACAATCTCGTGAAGGAATCTTTTGAATTCATCGTAAATGCCTGATGTTCCTGCTCGTAGAGCACAAACACTCCACCTGCAACCGCAATCAAAGATCGTTCCAATTGCTGTGTCACGCTCTCTAGTATACTCAACGCTGGACACAATCTCAAATTATTAAATGCTGTCAATAACTTGTTCGTATAATCCGCCAGCGGATAAAACTCCATTAAATTATCTGGCGGTTGTAGTGGATCCTGCGATTTTGTCCGCCATGAAGTCGGCATTTTCGTGTGACTCTTATTGATAAGAGTGAACTTTTCAATATTTACGTCAAAACCACTGGTTGCAGATTGCAACGCATTAGTAAACTGTTGCTCGATTGTTTTTAGAAATATCGGAGCAAGCAACTGGCGAAAATCGTAGCCGACTTTGCTGAATGAAAGACCAAAATACATGCATTGGCCAAGAATTGTATCAACCGAAGACACACGTGGAAGATGCATTTCTAAGGTTTGAAGAAAATGATCAATTTTTAAACGCAACCAGCCAAAGAAGATGCAGTTTTGGTTGACTAATTGATTACGGCTCGCGAGAGGCGAATGCTCATCGTCGTTAAACACTGCTCGGTACTGCGTGATGATCGAGAATAAATTAACACGCGTTATTTCTATGTGTTTGCTTAGGAATTGATTTGCTGCAAAATAAATAACAATATAAATTATGTTTCATGTATATTTGTAGAACTCTACCGTCAGTTTGTGAAATATCTTTAAGACTCTTCTCCAACCAACTGTTTCTTGCTTGCAGGAATTTAAGTCGAAGTTCTGTCTCTGTAAAAATCGCCATTTGGCGAAGGTGGCCGATGACTTGAAGACATTTCGGTAATTGAATATCGGTACTTAATTGTGATATTAATTGACGTTGCATTACAAGCCATAGTTTATCAACTTCCAATACCAAAGTCTGTGAAAATATTATGAATGTATTGATGAAATATATTGATGTAAGAAACTCACTTTCAGAATAGCAATATCTTTATGTTTGCTCTGTAATCTGTAGACATATGCAGCTAACTCTAAAGCTTCTTCATACAAGTTGTCCTTCACAAAACTGTCCATCAACTGAGGCAGTTCAAGAATTTCCAGCAATTGTGCATTTTTAACAATTGTGATTGTATTCAGCTTCCTCATCCGATTTATATCTTCACTGGACTGCAGAAAATTGACACATGTCTGCCCAAATACAGGAATATGCTCCAGTAAGTCATTCACTTTACCCTCAATTTGATTGAAATGATTGAAAGAGGTTCTTGAACACTCTGCTGTTTGTATGAAGGTCTGATAGTGACTAATTGCAAGCTCTTGAGTTTTGTCTTGCACATTTTGTTTATCTTCCTGTAGTCTTATTGGTTCCTTTGTTAACTCTTCAACTGTGCCAGCACCAAGTTTTTTAATGTACTCTTGGGCTGATACATTAGAAGCATCTAGAAAATTTAAGATAAAACAAATGATCTTTTGGTGAAGAAAGGTGTCTTACATTTTTTGGAGTCTTCTCCAAAGATTAACTTGTTTAGATACTCTGCGTCCGTGAGGTCAGTGCTTTCTAAAGCCTCTGACATGTTTTTACTTTTTTTACACTACTATTCGTATGTGCTATATTTGTTTTATTGTTGCTGACACGGCTGACAACTAACCTTATTTACTTTTGGTTTGTCAAAAGGCAAAAACAAAATACTCGTACAATATTATAGATGTATGCATGTGTGCAGATAAGCGCATGTGATAAAGTAAGCACTAGCACCATCTGTATGCCATAATTTAAATTGCAAAATCGTCAAGGAAAGCTTCTCATTTAAAAATGCGATATTTATGTTAACTTGAAAAAGAAAAAGAAGCTAGAGACCCGCGACTGTACTGTTTGATTACTGGGTCACTGCGGGCTGCCCTTATATGCTTGCGCCAAACCCGCACACAGTAGTGGGGGAAAGCGCGTCAGCCTTGAATACCTGCTCATGCAAGAGTTGGAGAGATATGCGTAACCCAAATTCTCACCCACTGGAGGACATAGCATACGGCAACATACCAAATTACATCTATGCCAAACATACAAAAAACTGCCACAAATTTTATCTTTTTCGGATCCCAGACCATAAAAAAACTCGTCATCTATAAAAGATTACTAATTATGTCAATATAAAGCAATAACAAAACGGCGACACTATAATCATGCTCCATTAGTAACACATTCTAAACACCTTCAAGTGGTCACATACTACTTATCAGTTTGATCATGAAAATCTACAATTTACAATAAACCTTGTGTAGCCACGCGAAGCTAAAAATACAAAATTCTCTCATTAGCTACTATACGTGACGATAACAAATTTATCATTAAAATCATCATCAAAACCTTCAATAGATAAGGTGATAAAGATCAATACATTATTAATGCCAATACTTGGCGACATTTAGCTGTGCCTCCATAATACTTCAAACAAAATCATCGCCGAATTTGCTAAGAGAAATAAAAATGAGTAAGATTATCACCACTTTGGTGGTGGTTGTTTATTCGATCATTTTTGCAACTATTGCTGCAAAGGTGCAATCGAAGGATGTGAGAAGTGACGAATGCCGAATCAACGGAGAAAATGTGAAGTTTAGCATTTCAGGATTGAGTGGTGAAAAGATTGATGACAACTACGCATCAGAAAAATTAATTGTTACATTCCCAACCCAAGGCATTAAAGGTAATACACAATATATCTTAAAATTTCTTAACTGACTTTCTGAAACTTCAACTCACAGCATTCAAAGTAAAAGAGGAATCAAAATGGCTGACGTTTAACTATGCTGATAAAGATAACACTCTGAGTATCTCCACCACTGCAGATTTTAAAAACTACGAAGAAGAAGTCGTTGGTAATAGAATTGAAGTGGTCCTGAGCGTTGTTTGCCCGGATGACGAAGAATACGATATTGCAAAGTAGAAAATAATTAATAACTTACTTTACATTTTAAAAATAAGCAGTAGTTATTAATATTAATTGGTTATCTTTAGACTTATTATCAAAAACTTAACGACCTCAATACTTACGCACCCACTTGGAATCAGGATGAATATGTGTTTGAAATGTACGGCAACATTCCAAAAGATTTCCGTTTAAACGATCTCATGAAGATATCAACTACTGATAAGGATTGCTCACCGGATCGCCTGGAATTCTCTATTGAGAGTGACAACAACAAAAAAGGTGGATGCATTAAGCATTCAAAGAGGAGACGTAGAAGGAAAAGAAACGTATGTCATCTTGTATGCAACGAAAGAAATTGAATCAGGAATCGACGATACCTATACAATCCGTGTTAAGGTAATAACATAACCTAAAATAACCTTAGTTGTAATCTTAATCTTATTTTATATTTTCTCCAGGATCGTCACTCTGATGATGATTCTAAAGAAACCACTGCAAAGTTAATCATTCGCCTGCATGAAAACGAAATGAACTTTGAGTTTACAAAACCAGAGTACAACTTTCAAGTGATTGACGATAAAATCGTTTCGGAAGATACCATCGAGTTAGTTGAAGGCCTCGACCATGATATTGATGTTACAATTGAAGATTCAGAATTTTCCAAGTACTTCTCCGTTGAATTGGACTATTTGACCGGAAGTATTAAGTTGATACTAAAGGAATCACTACCGGAAGCACCGAAACATGCTTATAGTAACACTGATTTTTCTCTAACGTTGAAAGCAACATGGCAGAAACGCGAGATTAAAACTATACTGAAGATTACAAGCGATAAAGAACTTGAGATCGTCTGTTATGTACCAGTTCTTGATATTAACAAGAAATCTTTCGACAATCTGGAAAGAATGGATGATGTTTTCGAAGGCACATTTTTCAATATTTCAAACATCAAGAACGTGGCGTCAATGGATTGCCAGAGTAATAAATACATCACTTGTAATTTTGCCAACGGCGAATTTAAAATGTCTACGACCGAAGAGTATAAAAACTACGAAGATAATGAATTTGAAGATATCATCAAGATGAATATCACGATCAAGTGTCCCTATGATACCAAAACACTGGTAAACAAAAACATTAAATAATTTTATAAGTTATTGAATTCTAATTTATATCTTTATACAGGAATTTAGACAAAGGATTCGCGACACTAATAACCACGTTCCTGAATTTCCTAAAGACGCTGACTACACCTTTTCTTTCTACAATAGAATTCCAGAAAATTTTGAAATTACGTTGATGCGAGATATAACTGTCACCGAGAAAGACCTAACAACCACGGATTGCAATTTCAAACTGCCAGATCAAGAATTATTCTCAGTGAGGCGGGCTGACGTTGAAGGAAAAGTATGCAAAGCAAAAATTATCAGTTTGAAAGCAATTGATGCTGAATTTGACGAAACCTTCCGCCTAACAGTAGATGATGGTGATGATGAAAGCATGTCAGAAGTAGATATACACATCAAAGTGACCAAGGACGAAAGTGACCAGCCTTTATTCACTGAAGCTGAATATTTCCTGAAAGCGTTTGAAGACAATGGTAAAACATTGCAAACGTACGAAGGATACGAAGCACCTAATTTGAAAAACGGCATGGATTCAGAGATCACGTTTGAAATTTTTGATGAGAATTTAAAAGATAAATTTGCAATAACAGCAAATAAACTTACTGGTAAACCGGAAGTCACAATGAAAGTAACCGGACTGGACTTATGTGATAATTGCCCAACGTTTACATTCCCGATTAAAGCCAAGTGGAGGCAATTAGAAGCAGAGACAAAAGTGACGATTGTTTTTAGTAAAGATTTTCAACCTCCCACTACTACCCCGGCAACTACGACTGCTGAAACTCCAACTAGCACACCTGTCGGTGGTCCAGGCGGTGACCTGCACGGTTTTAGTGCTTTCATGCTGTCCTCGCTTCTCGGTGTCATCATGATGTTTGTTGTTTCATTTGTGGGACTGGCCGCCATGTTGTATATCATCCGCAAACGTTTCTTCGTTGAAAGCAAGCCGAACGCTGCCCCACTTCCGGAGAAACTGCCCATATAAATGTTAATTCTTAATACCTATGTTATTACTTAAAATATATCCAATTTAATAAACAGCAACTACAAAAATACTTATTTTCTTCTTATTAACTTTAAACTTTTATAAGATAAGAATCTATTGTTTGAGTCTGCGGGTATAGAATGATCCCTAGAATAAACATACTCAGCTCAAAGTGCGTCGTCAAATGTGATAATGTGATAAATGCAAAAACACTTAAAATACCACAACAAAAAAACGTGTCGAAATAAATGATGCCCAATCAAGATATCAAGATACGTGATGCGATAACATTGATCCTGACCACATTGTTGGAAACTGGAACAAAGCCCAGATAAATTCATCCATTATAAGGATAGTTGTGCATTCATTTTCACATTTCATGTAAAAATTACCTGAATACAACTTGCAATATGGCGTTCGGAAAAATTCTATTGCTTTGCGCAGTGTTAGTGCTTGCAAGCGCTGCGGAAAACAAAAATCAACCCAGAGGATCTGATGAGAACAACTGCAATCTACCCTTGGAATTTACCCACGAATCATTTTTTGATCCTACGTTCGTAAATGAGCCAAAAAATGATGATGCTTTCGATGAGGTTTTCTACACATTTAAACTTCCTTCAAATATAACAAGTAAGTAAAGTATTGCTAGTAAACGTTTTCAATTCAAAGAAAGAAATCAATTTTGTTTAACAGACTACAATCTGGATGTGTATCATGGTGTTAACTATATCAGTGCTGAAGTAATTGATAAAGAAGTTATTTTCAAACCTACGGAAAACTTCAGAAATTTCGAGTACAAGGAAATCCATGATGAACCCGCTCGTATAGAGTTTCTTTTGCCTTTTGAGTGCTATGTAGATGAAAATGATTACGAAAACAAAACTCAGTTCGTAAGTTATTATCATAAACAATACAATGCGTTATAATAAATTTAAAAATTCTGTAATAAGTATTTCGTGCAACCCATAACGGATGTTAACAATCATGAGCCGATGTTTAACCGGAAAGAGTATCAATATCACTTTGGAATGCCTATCAAAGCAGGAGCCCTGCTTACCAACATTTTGGAAATTTATGCAGTGGATGTTGACTATACCAACACCAAAGTAGAATTTTCTATTGATGTCAACGATTATATTGAGATTAGCTATAAAGGAACAGAATACCTAAACCGGAAAATTCACTATGCCACTTTAACCACCAAGAAAGACATTCCAGCAAAGCAAAATATGGTATTGACTATTAAAGTCACCGTAAGTATTCAGAAACTTTTCTACAATACATTTTAATTACCATTTACAATTACTTATAGGATATGGGTACACCTAAGCTTGAAAGCACAGCTCTGGTCAAGATTGTTATTGATTAAATACACAAATGTTTAACAAGTGGCATAATAAAATGACTTAACTGCATGTAATCTCTAATTATATTCAACGCCTTCTTTGATTTGGTAACAGAGTGCAACATTTAAAAGACGTCAACATAAGAGTGTCAACATGTCTCGGTGGGAGATGTTAACACGTGGTGCGCCCGCCGTGGGCACATCGTGTGTCTGACGCGTGTCTGCCTCGTTCACCCTGACTCACCCCTCACCCTCAATTAGCAAATTCGTCAGATGGTAACCTCGTCGTGTAATTCCGTGAACTTCCGGAGGGCGCAGGTGACAAATCTTCGATATTTATATAATCGTCTCGTGTGCGCGCTGCATGCCACGACGAATCGGGAATCGATTCGGGCGGCGCACACGCCGCTGGTTAATTACCTGCTGAACGCAGCTGCGGCACGCCGCTCATATTTAGACCAAGAGGGAACCATGGAGCATGGTGTGGCGTGGTGTGGTCGTGTCGCGTCCAGAAATAGCCTACCATCTCGCAACTCTCGGGAGAGCGAGCGCATCGTGGAGCTTGTCGCATTTCCAGCTTCTGCTTTATAGAGAAATGTTTATTTTCGATTTGTGAAGAAAGGAACTATGTAGATGTAAACATCCGGGTGTTGCTCGATACAGTTTTATTTCACTGGATGTAATCACTGAACCACTAACTGCAAAACTTTCTATTCAGTTGCGAAGCAAACTTTATATCAGAATTTAATTGCATTTTGAGTCAAATAATAAAAAAACAAAGCAATCGAAAGTATTTGGAAGTCAATTATCGCGATGTACTTTGTTTCTGTCAAAGTATGAGCCATTGTAGAACGGATGTTGCCCGAAATAGCACCGCTATTAATAAACCAGTGCGCGATGCAAGTGTGCGCCTGGAGCTGGAGGACTCACCTTCGAATGCACATTGCGCACAAGTAATTCGAATCGGATATCGACACTAAACATACCTTTAAACGCAAATAAATGAAAACAAACCAAACACCGCCAATAATATATAAATTTAGTAAAATATGAATGAAAGAGTAAAAGGATGAAAATATTTCCGCTGAATGTGAGTCAGTGGCCGCTCGGAATGATGGCGAAACATTAGGCTAGGTGCAGCAATAGGTGGTTGATGGCCGGCGGCCAACATCGCGCGTCGCGACGCATTCCTGCGCGCTCCCGATTTAGCATCACGGCGCGTCGTGAGTAACCACGTAAGCATTCATTCACCGGCCCGTCGCCACCATCGCCGTCGTCGAAATCATCCGCGCACTTGTATACGTAAAAATCTTCACGCGGTGGTACAAAAAAAAATTACCCAACGACTTGAGCCGCGCGGGAGGGCCAATGGAACGGCGGGCCCTTAAGGGAGCGCGCTGATGCACACATGTAAACATGCGCTCGTGGTGTATACGTATAACATGCCGTAAACATCTTGGCACACGTTCAGATTGCGTAAATATAGAACGCGGGCCACGTTTTCTCGAATCGGTGCCTTCTCGTTCATCGCCAGTTTGTTTCAATACGTCGTCAGGGAATCACCCTGCTCCTTACACTTAACAAGAAATTTACCTAAACTGAAGTGTTAACTTAACTTTCAAAAAGTGTCATTGAATGTAGTGGTCAGTGTCCCAGCAACAAAATGCCGCGAGCTTTCCTCATTACTCATCGTCGGTACAACGAGGAAATGGATACCAGAGGTGAGTAAGTGTGGTCCCATGCAAAATGTCCCCGAACCATTAATTTAGTTGTAACTAATAGGGTTATTTGATGTGCGGTCGGTAATTTTGGCTACTTGTTGCGAATTGGCACAGTGCCGATCCCACCTTACGGTCGGTCGTCCACACACGAAACGTTTTTACGCCGCACGGAAAAGCGCATACACATTCCCGATAAAAATAAACGCGATCAACAAGTCCGTTTTCCCACTGCACAAAGGTCATCTCGTCCACTTTAAATAGTGACATGGCGTTTCTTGCAGGATCGAGTCCAACTCCCAGCAACAGCGCCGACACCACTCATTCGGAGAATAGCTCCGAGTGTCCTGATGAACTCTACAATCTCACCAAACTAGCGGAAGTCAGTTTAGCAGCAGCAGCGGGGAAAATCTTCGAGGGCCGCCATTTGTCTGTCCACTCGAGGAGTCCTGATGACATCATCACCTACACCCATAAACTATTCGACAAATCATCAAGGACACCACGTTCACACATTATCACAGTAAGTTTACCTGACCTCATCATTAAATATAAACTAAACTCATTTTTGGTTTCTAGAACGATTCCATTGTTGTAACACCGGAAAGACTGGTCGATGCAAGCACACAGAATGATTGTAGTGAACACGAATGTGCTGAATGCGGTAAACGTTACAGTACCTCGAGTAACCTGGCCCGTCATAGACAAACACATCGTTCACCAGCAGATAAGAAAGCTCGTCGTTGTCCACATTGCGATAAGCTCTACGTCAGCATGCCAGCCTACTCCATGCATGTGCGTACCCACAACCAAGGATGCAAATGTCAATACTGCGGTAAGTGTTTCTCGCGACCATGGTTACTCCAAGGACACATCCGTACCCATACCGGCGAGAAACCCTTCAAGTGCCCAATTTGCGATAAAGCCTTCGCTGACAAATCTAATCTACGCGCGCATGTGCAAACCCACTCCAACACCAAACCACACGTATGTGCCCGCTGTGGTAAAGCATTCGCTCTTAAATCATACCTGTACAAACACGAAGAATCCTCCTGTATGCGTATCAATGGTACGCAGCAAACTCGGGAGTCCACACCAGAGAAATCACTAGCTTCATCACCAACACCAGTGATCGTGACGGTCAACTCAGTTATACGCAGTGGGACAGGTCTCTATCGCTCGACGGTCATCAGTCCGAATCCGGAGAGACTACTCCTCGCGCAAGTGGAGCATCCGTCCGTCATCTTGAACACCTCCCACTTACATCGCTCCATCGTTCAAGAACAACCCGTTGATTTCTCCGACAAATCATCGAAGCGCAACTATACGCTGGGTTTGGCCATCGCTGTCTGACCACACAAAAACACAGCATCAATTTTAGTGTATTAGGGACCAAACTGGATCAAAACTAAATCTCATTAGTTTTAATTGATTTAAACTTAGATAACTTATAAAGTTACTTAAGTTAATCAAGTTTTTAATATAGGTTAGATTAGAATATAAGCTGGTCGCAATGGTGCTGTTACTTAGTAAGCTTTTAATGTTTCTGATTCTCTTTGACTTGAAGACGAGAGTGCTCCTAGTCAAAAAATATACACACACTTCGCACGGGGTCCAATTATTCGCCCGGTGCGCATAGCTTAAGTGTATGTCGTTGTGTATACGTATTTATATCGTTTGCTTTACTTTTTTTCGTTTTTATTTTTTTGGCCGGTGGTGTGCAATGTGGCGATCGCGAGCACGTCACATCCCGTATTCATTCCACGTGCTCGCGCGCAATAAAATAAATGTACATGTTTCTCATTCCCGTTTGTAGATTAAGCGTAACCTATTAATCGTTCTTGCAGTTAATGTAACAATTAGTTGTGTGTTTTCATATAGCCAATAAATAATTATCTGTCTGTAGGCGTTCAGTACTTAAGTGTTAAGTCTATCTGTATATGTATTTGTATGAGCACATTTTCTACGTTAATACAATTATTTCAAACATACAACTGCAATGTGAGCTTTCTTATGTGAAGACGCAACAAAACGGATGTTAAGAAACTGATTTTGCAACGCGATGCCATCTTGGAGTTGCAGCAATATCATGAATGAAGTAATTAATAATCTCGGCTATCGGCTGGACAAATAGCTGAACATATTTCAATGTAAATGGGTCAAACGCAAACTATGAATGGAAAGAGGGGGCCTGGAGACAATTTATGTCAGGGGTCAAAATTGTAGTCGATGCCATTCAATCGAGAACGGTCCACCGATCGTGTGGTGCATAGTGTGTGAATCAATGGCTCGCGGCGTGGTGCTCACGCGGCGTCTTCGTCTCATCGATGTTTGTCTCGTTGTAGCGCTGATTGCTAAGGCGACAGGACTGCCTCAACCCTCAAGACACGTCGTAAGTATCAACCTGTGATTTAGTTAAGTCGCGCATGTGTTGTTTCGTGTACTGAATCAATCTGGTATCGTTATCGCGATGCGAAGCTGTTAAATTTCTATGGGTCAAAAGATCTCGCGCGCGAACGAAATGTGTGCCACCGTTGATGGTGATACAATGTTGTTTTTAGGATTTGCCGGAAGGCAGCAACGATGCCGAGTTTCATTCAAATTCCATGGGAGTTTCCAAGGTGATCGACCTAAATACGGTACTTAAAATAATTCTATTTTTTAAGAATTCAAGTTTGATAGAAAATTCTTTGATTTTTAGGGGACGATTGCCTATAAAGATCACATATTAAAATCATGCTACATAGAAAAAATGAGCAAGGATTCTCCGTGGGAAAAAAATCGAATGTTAATCGTCCATCCAAATCTGCTCACAAATGAACAGGTGGAAATTATTGGAGGACATATAGTTGCAAACTTTTGTTTCGGATGGCCGTCGAGGGTGTTACGTCTGCCGACCAACTTTGAAGTGAGAAGTAAAAGATCCAACAAGCAATATTATTTCGTTGGTCGTAAGACAAGGGGCCAAACGCAAAGTCAATACTTGCAGTTTGGAGATGGTGAGAATCCAGGGAAAGCTGAGGCGGAAGCAACTCGACAAGGAAGCAAGGCTGTTGTGTGTAAGTGTATTAAAAGTGGCGAGATAATATTAATCAATAATAATTGATTTTGTGATGGTTTGAAGATGGTTCCAGAGGAATGGGACAAGCGCAAAGTCAAAGTGATCCATTCAGTTGTGCTGATTGCTATGGATATGGAGGTTCCGGTATTCCGGGTTCACAAACGTCTACCTCACCTTTTGCCCCAGGATTAAATGGAGAACAGTTATCAGGTGGTCGACGGTTTGATGCATCGGGCCGACCAATTTTAACTACTGGCGCAGACCCTGGATTATCCCAAACGGATATTTATGGAAGACCTATTGGTGGCGATGGTCGATCCCCAGGAGTCACAGGTCCAACCCAGGCAGGACAAGGATTTATTCCTGGAAGAGGTCCCGGTGCTGGTCAACAACATGGTGGGCAAGTGCCAGGTCAACTATTAGAAACACCGGTTGGTAGCTTAATTCAATCAGGAACACGTGGCCAGAATGGTAAACCCGGCGTTTCTGGCACTAACGCTCTCTTTATACCCGGCCAAACACCCGGAACACATCAAACTCGCCCAGGTCAAACAGGTGGCTACCAACAAGGTGGTCAAGTACAACCCGGTACTGGAGGTGGAACCATTTTTACACCAGGACAGGCAGGCCAAGCACCTGGATCATTTCAAACACATCCTGGGCAAACTATATTGAGAGGACCGGACGGTGGACAAGCTCCAGGAACACATCAAATACAACCTGGTCAAGCAGGTGGAGACTTATTACCGGGCACTACAACTGGTGGAGGAAGAGGTCCATCAGGATCATTTCAAACGTACCCAGGTGGTCCTGGAAGTGGTACAATATTGAGACCTGGTCAAACTCATCCAAGCCAAACCGGTGGACTACAACCAGGAATAACAGGCGGACCTGGTACAGGAACATATTTTACTCCAGGACAAGTATCTACGGGTGGTCAATATCCTAGTGGTGGTAGTCAACCTGGTTCGGACCAAACACCTTCTACTCATGCAGGTGGAACACAAGGAACAACAGGTGGCCCTGCAACTGGAACACAATTTACCCCAGGACAAGCACCAGGTTTATTACAAATTCGTCCAGGCCAAGTAGGAGGACCAAGCGGTGGTCAAATACCTGGATCCATACACACACAACCCGGTTCGCAAATATACGATCATGATGGTCTTCAAAAACCCGGCGGACGTCCAGTGCATCCCGGTGATGTTGGAGCAATTGCACCTGGCGCGCAAATTCAACAGGGTGGTGTAACAACTCAACCAGGTGAAACAACCTATTTTATTCCTGGTGGTATAAGACAACGGCCAGGCGATGGTTCTTTTGGTTACTATCCATCGACCGGAACACCAGGTGGAAGAATCCAGGGAGGAGATTCAGGTATACAAGATGGAACTTTCAACGGTCAATTAGCCGGACAATACCGACCGGCAAGTGGCCCAGGCGGGGAATTTTCCGGCACATTTCAAGGTAGATATAGCCCACATGGATCTAGAACACATATAGGTTCACAAGGAGCGCAAATTAGTGGAGGTGGACAGCAAACTGGAGATAGTGCGCAGCAGGTTCATTATCCAGGATCTATTATTGGATCCGGTGGTCAAAGAGGGCAAGGTTCTCTTGAACAACAAGGATTTCCAGGCGAGTCAGTTGGAGGACAGCAATGGTCACAAGCAGGTACACCCGGAAGTCAAATCCCAACAGGTTCATCAATTACTGGACAAATTCCGGGCCAATATGTACAAGGTATAGGAACACAAGGCGGCACATCCACACATACTGGACAAGGTACTTTCATTCCCGGTCAAACTCAAATCCCATCAACAAGTCAAACAATTCAGAACGGTTACCCTGATACAACTAGTTCGGGGCACGTATGGAGTGGACAACCAGGGCAAAGTCAATTATCTCCAGGTGGTAGTCAACCTGGCTATCAACACGGGACAGTACATACACCAGGACAAATACATACAACAACCGGTGGTCAATATCCTAGTGGAGGTAGACAACCAGGTTATCAACAAGGGACAGTACATACACCAGGACAAATACATACAACAACCGCTGGCCAATATCCTAGCAGTGCAGGCGGCCAACCTGGTTATCAACAAGGTACGAGCGGACAAGGTCCAATAGGTGGCCAACCAGGCTATCAACAAGGTGCTGGACAAATACCTGAACAATCGCATTTAACAACTGACGGTCAATATCCTAGTGGCAGTAGTGGTCAACCAGGTTATCAACAAGGAGCACCAGGACAATTGCAAATCTCGACTGGGGGACAATACCCAACGGGTGGTACCAGTCAACCAGGTTATCAGCAAGGAACACCTGGACAAATTCACTCAGGGACAGATGGTCAATACCCAGGTAGTGCAAGTGGTCAACCTGGTTACCAAACAGGAACAGGACAACCACAGGGACATTTACAAACACCTACTGGTGCTCTGTATCCTGGTGGTTCTGGTCAACCTGGTTATCACCAAGGAACAGAATTTACACCGGGTTATCCAGGCCAAACTACAGGTACAGGTCAGCAAGGTGGTACAACCGGAGGACAACAATTTTATGGCCAACAACCAGGAACAAGTGGACAACAAATAGGAGGAGGCGGACCAACTTACGGTACACAAACACCTTATGGTCAACAAGGTGGTCAAACATTAGGAAGCGGTGTTGGAGACTATGCAGGTTCTGGCGTTCCACAGGTAGGACAATTCCAACTCCCCGGTCAAGCAGGTCAAGGTTTAGAAGCGGACGATTCTGATACGCAAGCGCAAAGTACAATTCAGCGGTCAGATAATGAAACTCAGGCGAGTGCCTCTTCTTCGGGTCGGTTTGCTGGCGGTACGGCACAATCACAAGTATCTGGATCTTACGCAGGTACAGGATCATTTAGTGCCTCGGCAGGTAGCAACGACGGATTACGCGGTGCGCAAACACAGGTTTCCGGTAATTCGGAAGGTACCCTCAGTTCCTCTCAAGGTATGGGAGGCCGAGGTAAATCCCAAGCACAAGTCCAACTTTCAGCGGACACTGGTGACACCACCTCAAGTGCCCAATCCGGTGGATTAAACCACGGTACCAACACACAAGTACAATCGGGAATTAAAGGGGGAATGGCAGATGCACAAGCCAACGGTCCAGGTAGCACCTCTTCTCAAGCACAAATAGGTTTCTCTCCATACGACGCAAACACCAATGACGACGATCCTGGAAATCCCCACAACGGAGGAGGAACGGCAAGCGCCTCAAGTGGAACTCACGCGGGTAAATCCCAAGTACAAATTAATGGAAAATACGCGTTTGGTATACGCTACACGGGCCAAGCTCAAGCTTCCTCCGCAAATTCCGGCTACACGGCTGATAATATCAATTTACCAACAATGCGACCAATCGACTTCTCACAAAACACTTATAGCAAACCAGCAAAACAAGAAAAAGTTAACGTGCGTCAAATAGACGACCCCAGCTTAATAAAAATTATTACATCTTCAACAACTCCATTACCCGATGATGATGATGAAGAAGAATACGACGACTATGAAGATCCTAACCCACCACCAAGACATAACTTGGTTCAACAAGCAAAAACAAGAAGTCTAATGCATGACGCCCTTGATCCTCTAGAAGATATAGAAGATCATGGTATTCAAATCGAAGGCCAGCTAAAACACGGCGATATAATTCAAACAGGTCAATACATTCCAGGGAGCACCGGGTACAAAATCCCACAAGGTTTTCGTGGCCGTGTCACCGAAGATCAACAGCAACACGAAACAGATAGCGACTTAGGCAAAAGAATCATCTACGCAGCTGGAGCTAACGCAAATCGTCGTGGGCACAACGATGGATACGGTTCAGGTTATTCCTACCAACCAAGATACTCCCCAGTCCAATACGGTTTCAAATCATCAAACCAACCAAAGAATTTCGTCTCAGTGACAAAATCAGAAACAGGTTCACGTAATATCATCACTGGAAAGAAAACTCCCTCAGTTTATTATACACAATCATCAACGTGTGGATATTTCACCAATACGTGCGTCTATAGCAATGGGCGAAAGATCTGCCTACCGAAACCGAAGGCCAATCCGGATGGAACACCCATTGTATGCAGAAACTAAATGGACACTCGACTATAAAACAATATAATACCATCACTGCCAGACGTATTATAATTATAACTTAAAGTATCTATTTTCATACATTGCTTTTTTTTAATTAACTGCGAGTAAAATATTGTAGTTTTATTAATAATGATTAAACGTTTGAAAACACAATGCCTAGAAAATTTATTATATTCCAAGTCACGACTTTTGTTGATTGTTAAATTAATAGAATGACGCTAAGTGATTACAATTTGAAAGTGCGGCCTTCCTATCATTTGCCTACTTAAGAAATTGTAGGAAACACAATTTAATCAATCAATATGAATAGCTACGTGATTGTGTTCCTGGTGATTTGTGTTGTTAGCATTAAAGGACAAACTGTTGTTGATAAAATAGAGGTAATAGAAATAAGAATCATTCGAAATAAGATGTAATTAAACTACATTTTTAGAGTATCGAAGGAAAATTCGATTTTAACCCCAATGTGATTCCAGCAAGGATGTATGATTACTCAACGGTATTATCTCACAAAAAATAAAATTCTCCTATATACTTATTGATGTAAATCGAATTTTAGAATACAATTGCCTATAAAGACAAATCAACCAACAAATGCTACATCCAAAGAATGCAGAAAACCACCCCAGCCCCGCTGTACATCTCCGATTCAAAAAGCGACACGCAAGAAGTAGAAATACTAGCAGGACGAGGAATTGCGCGCTTTTGCCGTGGACTAGAAGTCTACAAACTGCTCGTGCAGATAAAATAACTTCCGTGTACAAAAATCAGTCCTTTTACTTTTTCTTTAGCTATACATCATAGTTAATTCGTGGTTAAATAAATAGTACGTACCTCACAAGTGGTACCGCAAATCACAAGTGGAATCCTAAAAGTTGCTAACTTCTTCGTCGCTCATCGTTGTCGAGGAGACGTTCAGCAGATTGCCGGCACTGCTAGAGTTACGTAATCTAAACAATCAGAATCCACCGCAATTGCGAGTTACAATCAATCCGAAATAAAGAAAAGGATGATAGTAAAACTTCAAGCGCACCAAATTAACCGCAACCAAAGTTACTTACGCAGTCGTCATCGAGCGTCGCCATTTCCTCACCGCCATCTTCGTTATTTAGTATTTCATCGCTAAGTCAGTGAATGAAAAGAAAGTTATGAGATAAGCGTCTACCCAAAACCACCTCACAATTATGATTATGTTATTCGATAGCAGAAAAGCAATAAAATTCAACCGTGTGTTTGCTAACCTTGAGTTTAAATGTTGAAGTTGCACATGACAGTTATCCACCTGCTCCTGAAGCTCATCATTGGTGCGTTGTAGCTTTCGCATCGCATTGCTAGTCACGTCGATTTCATCTTCAGCTAGTGCCAGATCTCGTTTAAGTTCTTCGACTCTAGCACGCAGCTTTTTCACGTCGGTTTCGTATTGTTCAGCGCGACGTGCTGCGTGCGCGTTTTCTGTAATCCTTTCTTGTAGCAGTTTCTTTAACTTACTCTGTGCGTGCTTATACTCGACTATTTCTTTATTTCTATCGACTAATTCAGACTGTAGGTGACGGAATTCAGCGTCTGAGTTCGTGATTGGTCTGCCCTTGCGTTCGATGCGTTCTTGAATATCACGCAATTCAGCGCGAAGTTTTTTGTTTTCGCGTTCTAGTGTAAGTTTTTCGGTTTCGAGACGTTCGCGTTTGCCCCATTCGGCGGCGTTTTCAGCTTGCAGACGCTCCAACTAATAATTTGATTTTAAAAACACTTATAAATACTAGTTAAATATATTACCTCTGCACGTAGATCATTTATACGTCTATCCATACCATCGCGGGTGTTTGTTTCGTCTTGAAGATCACACTTCAACAATCGAATTTCCTCCTGATGGGTATCTTGCAGGGTGAGCATTTCGCGGACAGCTTCCTGTCGTGCCTCACGACATTCTTCCAGTTTTTCTTTCAATTCTTGGACTTCACTTCCCAGCCTTTCAAGTGTGTGATGCATTTGTGCTTTATCACTATAAATACATTATATTATTACTATTTTAAGTTTATTATTGAATTTTAACTCACTCTCTTTCACTCTGAAGTGTCTTATTGGTTTCATCCAATCTTAGTTGCAACATAGACATCTTCTGCATTAAATACTCTTCATCATACTCATCAGAGTGTGATTTGGATGTAATTGAATTCTTCTCATCATTATCAACTTGCTTTGGTACAGCTCCATGCAGCACATATTCTTCAGCTAGAATTGACCTGTTCTTTTGTTCTTCTGTAGTGCTATCACAATCAATACCATTCACCTTGATAGTACTACTGAATTCTTCACCAAGTGCCTCAAATATCTGAGTATCAAATTGTCCAGCATGCTTGAGTAGAAGAATGTGAATCTTTTCAATTTCTTTCTTAAGATGATCATTTTGCAACTCTACATCTTGTTTTTCTTTCTTGTAGATGTTGCTGTCTTTTAGGGCCATGTCTAACTTGGTGCGGAGTTGTTTTGACTCATCGCGGGCTTTGTTGCGCTCATTACGCACTTTGCTCCATTTATCTCTCCAGTTGGCTGTGCAGTCTGACCACCAACGCATTGTTTTCTCCATTTGTGCCGCCCGAGCACGCGCTTCTTCTAATTCGCGTTTTCGCATTGTCTGCACGAAGACAATGAACAAAAATGTAGCAAAATCTTGATAAATTTATGCAATTTGATGTGGTGGCTTACCTCGGTGGCTTCCCATTCTGCGTCCGGGAATCGGGACGATGCAAGGGAGGCTGTATCATGCTCCCTAGCATGTCGCCTTGACGACGTCCCACTCGTTGAACTCTGGGCCATTTTAAAGGCGTTTTACCACATCACCACTTGTATGAAGCTTCGCGAATATTTCTTAACTCACTAGTTACGGATCTAGCGGATTATCTAGCCTCCAGCACTCCTGTTTGTTTCCCCCGTTCCCGACCCTGTGTTTTCACTTTTTTCTTTGCTGAACTAGTTATTTCTAAAGGCTGCCGTTGAGGGAGCCACAATTATTGTGCAGAATTAAAATACACCCACTAAGAATATTTTCTAATGATTGTATGCATAAACTAGAAGTTATACGTTAATAAACACTAGTTAATATAAATTTAAATTACAAATCAATGTTTTTATATGCGTATTATTTAAAATTGAAGGTTATATTTAGCGCAAGCGCATTTTAGTGACACCTGCATCCTTCGCGCCTTTTCGCTTCTAACCTTGAAACTACACACCGAAAATTACCGCCGTTTGATGTTGTAAAACGATAAACCTGTATTCGTTTTTTGTAAAAATAATCGTGTTATATCATTGTCTTGTTATTATCAAGTATTTGTCATCATGTCGGATCCACAATTAACCACCGGAGCTATTTATGTACGTTTTCCTATTGTTTTTTTCTTTACTTATAGAAATATATAATTGCGTCTTATTGTGTAATTCCAGAAAATACTGCGCGGCGTTGTGCTGGAGGATCCAATCTTGCAGATCATCGGCAGTAAACGCATCGATTCTCAATCCGCAGAGAAATCTCGCCATCGCATTCTGCTCTCTGATGGAAAATACAAAGTTTCTTATGCCATGTACACAGTGCAACCTAATGATACACTTGCAATTGGTGGAGAGATTGCTGAAAACACTGTCATCAAGATGAAGAAATTCATTACCAGTACCATTGCTGCACCCAATAAAGGTGGTGAGAAGTAGGGAAATTTACATTTACTCTCATTATGTTATTTATTAATTTGAATTTTCAAATTATCTAGGAATGTTCTTATTATACTTGATGTGGAAGTAGTCAAAGATGGCAAGCAGGTTGGCAGAATTCTTGGCAGCCCAGAGGCGCTCCCCAGTGATTTGTCCACCATTGAGAACAAAGAGAACAATTCATCATCAAATTCTGCATCATCCCTTCAAAGTAATTCCAGGACTCCCACTTCAAATGATTATGAACCAGCTCCAAAGAGACCTAATCTCTCTGGTCCAGCCCCATCTGCAGATACCAGCTCATTCAGTGCAGAGCTGATTATGCCAATCAGCAGTTTGAGTCCATATCAAAACAAATGGGTGATCAAGGCTAGAGTGACCAATAAGGGTCCAATCCGAAAATGGTCCAACTCGAAGGGTGAGGGTCAACTGTTCAGTTTTGATTTACTGGACCAAAGCGGTGAGATCCGAGCGACCGGATTCAGAGACATGGTTGATAAATACTATGAATTTCTACAAGTTGATAAGATTTACTACATTTCAAAGTGTCAGATCAAAATGGCGAACAAGAAGTTTTCTTCATTGAAGAATGACTATGAAATGACTCTTGGAGCCGAGTCGGTTATTCAAGAATGTGCTGAGGATGGAGACATGCCGACTGTTCAATACAGCTTTACTACTTTTGATAAGATTGCTGCAATGGAAGCCAACACGATGATTGGTGAGCAAAAATTTACAACAAAATCTCAAAATACTTTAAATTATTTTCTTCCGCAGATGTAATTGGAGTTTGTAAGCAAATTGGTGATGTTCAAACCCTAACCGCACGTTCAACAGGAAAAGAGTTAAAGAAGCGTGACATTGTTCTTGTTGATCAAAGCAAGTCTGCTATCACTTTAACTTTATGGGGAAATGATGCAGAGACATTCGATTCAAGCAACGATATTGTCGCTGTCAAAGGCGCGCGTATTACCGAGTTTGGCGGAGGCAAAGTATCTCTGTACCGAACGGCGGTACATTTAAACTGAACCCTGATGTAAAAGAGGCGTTTGCTTTGCGTGGATGGTACGATAATGGTGGAAACAGGGAAGAAGCGGCGAATTTGAGCGCTAGGACTGGCGGAGGTGGCGGGGCTGCTAGTTGGTTCAGTTTCAAACAAGTACAAAATGAAGGACTTGGAGCTACCGAACGTGGCGATTACTATCAGAATGTTGCTACGATTCTTATGATCCGCAGCGAGAATTTGATGTATGAGGCATGCGCCAATGAAGGGTGCAACAAGAAGGTTGTGAATCTTGAGAATGGAAGATACAGATGTGAAAAATGCAACATTGAGTCAACTGAATTCAAGTATAGACTCATTGGAAACGTAAGAATTAAAATAAACATTAAGTGTTTTTTTTTTATATGTAATTAAACAAATTTCAGATGAATTTGGGCGATTGGAGTGG